CACGACGGTCCGAAAGAGCGCGAAGCGATTAGAGAGTAATTTTACCATACCATCATGTGTGTCAGTAAACATGAACAACTTTTTATGTCATCGAGTGTGTCAGTAAATATGAAGAATTTCAGGAATGTGAGCCCTTTAGAAAGGTTGGAAATCGCGTTTCCTCACTTCTCCCTCTTCGAACTACACGCCGTGACTGCACCAATTTCACACATTATATATTTTTCCACTAAATATCACGTTTGCACCCAACCGCGCATAAAACTTTTCGGTGCAAAATCGAATCGCCTGAGAAATGAATCCATGCCACTCAGAGACAATTCGCTCTCTCAATTCATTTCTCTCAACACGGTGAGTTTCTGGCGATTCCGGGTCGCAAACTCAAGGACATCATAATTGGCTAGGAAAGGCATTGCTAATCGCTTTCGGCATTTCAAGGACTTTCTCTGCGGCGAAGAAGAAATTAGGAATGATTACATTTACATGCTTCATCTGGTTCATCCGGGAATTAGGAAAATTTGAGAGAGAAATTGAAAGATTTCTTGAAATCTTTTCCAGGGCGTCCACCAGCCCCATCCTCACGGTGAAAGAAGATGAACGAAACCCAACTCAGAAATGGAATGGCCCTGCAAAGTCGAGGAAGCAAATATACAGAAAGTTTCTGAAGACACTGCACTAAGTGAAATTGGAATATCTCCGCGATGGCTGGACACATTTGCATGGAATTTGAGATAAATCACGACAAAAAAAGAAAATGAAAAAATAATGCTTCGGGATAAGTAAAACTAATTTGCATAATTTTCCCAGTTAGCACAAATTTGCATATTGTTGCAGGTTGTGGTAGAAAGGTTGCAGAGCTGCCACCAGATGATCAAACGAAATGGCTAGTTTAAAAGGGCTTGGGTGACCTGTTATAACATAAATTAATGCTGTGTTATTGGTGCAATGTTATCGGTGCAATGTGAGCATACCACAAGAAGAATTGAGTTCAAACCGGGCCGGGCCCGGTCGGTCAAGGCCCGGTCGACCAGCAGATGTTGAACGACCCTCATCGAGCGCTCCAAACGACCATAGCCACGAAGCCCGCCCACCTTTTTTCACCTCTGCCGCTGATAGCAAATGGGTTGCGGATGACCGCTCCTTTCGCCGCCCTTACCGCTTCCTGTTGATTCAGAGCGCTTCGTGAGGATCAACATCGATTGACTGACCGTACGAACTCCATTCTCCGTATGGAATGCCACAATGCGTTAATCCCAATAACATTTGCACAATAACAGGTAAAGCAAACAGTTGTTAACCTATTTCGTCGGCTCGTCTGGTGGCAACTCTGCAACCTTCCTACCACAACCTGTAACAATATGCAAATTTATTTTTCCTATACTGAAACATTCGGGGGAAAAGATCTATTTTGCCTTGAGTTATAATCTCAAACATCATGCAAATTTGTCCAGCCATTTTGAATCTATTCCAATTTCAGTTAGTGCAGTGACTTTCTGAAAAACCCAGTGTTTTCCTGAGGCAAAAGTGAAGGTCTATCTCTGATGCAGATTTGGTCCTATCGTCACAAAAGCATCACAACTAACGAATATCAAGCCGCAAAACCGCATGGACCCTTCTCGTCCCTGCAAGAGTACGACGAGAGACAAGCGAGAAGCGCGCGAGGGCGCCGAAATCGCAGGCGATTCCTCCAGCTTCGTCCAATTTTTCCGGCATGAGCTCCCCCTCGATATAACGAAACCTCTAAATAACACTTTTTTTTTTACTAAGTTTTTCGAGCTTCCGGCTGTTCGCCCGTTCACAAGCAGTTTCTGTTCTGTGTAACGAATCGTTCGGTTTTATTAAGTCTTTTTTTTTTCGTCCGAAGGAAGAAAGCTGTTCCATATTACGAAGTTTACATCCGATGCACACGTCAGAGCAATCCTGGAAAAGGCCGAATGTCGAGCCTGAAACTTTTCAAATAAGGACGCACTTTTGTGCACGTCCGCTTATGTACAAACATACATATTGGAAGCAGTATTCTTGCAATACGAAACGCGCTCAGACCTTTGCATTTTTTCACTGCATCTTTATTGGCAATAGCTGACATTTTGTCGAAGAGATCTTTTCCCTGTGAAATGTGGGAAGTTCGCCAAAATGAATTTTCCTCCTGACGAAAATTTTCAGCCTGTTCTTTCAATTTCGTTATATAGAGCGTCGACTGCATTGCGTAATCAAATCAAATTCCCCAATTAATGTTTTATTATATTTTGACTAATGCTTTGGAGTGCCCTGTATTCCAGTACTTGAATTCCATAATGGGTACTCGTCCCTTCTTTCAGTACTTGTTCAATCGCCTTTATAAGGCGGACATTATACAAAGTTGAGTCAAGAATTTTTAAATTTGCTTCAGTACCTACTACAAAAAGTACTTCTCAGCACTACCAGTACTTGCTTAGTACTTGGGACCCATATAAAAATTACTCTTAGAGTAAGGCAAGCCCTTCGGTGCTTAAATTGTCGGAATCGGCTCAGAACGTTTCGCTACACGAAGGCATGTCACATTACGTGACAAATGCTTAATCTCCCGTGAAACTCAGAAAAACAGGCTTTGAAACTTCAGCATGCAGTCGGCGGGGGCAGCGAGGAAAAAAAATCATGTTTTTCGGACACGAATCCATTCAAGCGCGAAGAGATCCCGGCGACATTCCGTTTTCTCCTCGGTCGATGGCCGAGGGGGACGAGTCGACTTTTGTGTCGGGCAGCTCGCGATGTCGGTTCACGGAGGGAGTCGACGGATTTCCGATCGACCAGGGAGAAAGTGGAATTTCACAATCACCCGGAAATCTTCGCGCGTGAACGGATTCATTTCGTTAAGAAATTGCCATCCAACAATTTTTTTTTGCTACCCTGCATGTTGCATCCAAATTTTCAAAGCAAATCCATAATGAGGAAACATATGTAGCTTACTGTATGTTGCATCAAAACAATTCTCGCATTCGCATGTTTATAATATACTAATTGCTAGGACGAGTTCACGTATGCCTCAATGCTAAGATGAGTTCATATACAAGGACTTCTCTGCATTTTTAGTACCGGATCAGTCCTTGCAACCACCACGAATCGGTACCGTAATAAAAGGCGACTTGCAAGAGATTTTGACTTGCAAGTAAATGCGTCTTCAAGCAATATTTTTCATCTTGCAGCATAATTAATATTCGCCACTGCCCACAGGAAGAGAAAATAAAGTTGCAAGAAATATCATTCACTTCCATACATTTTTCCCGACTTCGTGCCATCGAATTTGTCGGAATTTTCCTGTGAAAATTGAGGTGTGTGTTGCGAGGCTGGGATGCAAAAATCTCGGTTTCCCGCTGGGGAGTTCGACACGGTCCCGAGATTCCATTTTCGATGGACTTTCGAAAACTCATGAAACAAGTGCCGGAATAAAATCTGCAGAGGCGAATGCAACGGAAATACCTCTCCCCAAATCGATTTAAAAGTTTTGTTGAAGGGTGAACTGAGTGTCGAGTCGCCAGAGCACGAAAAAGGGGCAGACACTTCCGGATGCAAGAACCACATGCTCTCAAAGGCGTACTCAGTACTCCTGCAGTACTGAGTATGAAACTCGGCGGACTCGACGACCTCGGGGAATGAGGGAAGCAGGCTCACGGTCGGCGGGGGGGCTGGGGGGTGACTGCCCCGTAGCAATTATTTACTGTCTTCCCTAGGTGGGGGGCAGTAATATGACATGATTGAATGTGAGTGGTCTCTTCAACAAAGTGAGAGCGTTATTGAAAATTTTCAACGGTTTCCTAGCTGTGCTAACTGCTAAAATGGGCAATTCTGGTCACGGGGTCGAGAGAGTAGGAGTTTTGGAGCACACACGTGAGACACGTGGGCCACGAGAGTGGGATTTTGCAGGAGAAAGTGATTTGGATGTAAAATACGATTATTAATGGAAATTAGGGAGGGAACGGAATACTACCAAGAAGATCTGCTCTAGAAAAGTACTGAAATCACACGCGAAAGTGAGGCTTCAGCATCCCCGTCGTTATTGCTAATTACCTGAGTCCAGAGAGAGAGAGGAAATACCGACAGTTGCGTTGAAATAGATGAACCTTTTTACGTTGAGCCTGCTGAATGTTTCTACTTTGACCTGGATTTTCCTCAACGGTGGAACGCGAGGTTACTCCTGCCGAACCGAAGCCTTTTTGGGGACCGTTTCCGCCCCTTTATGTTTCATTTCGTTGTTTTCGCGTTTTACGTAGTATTTTGACGTTTATCGATCGCATTTTGCTGCCAGTTCGAGACAAAGAAAATAATATCTCAGGTGTTTCTGGGTCATCAAAATCCGCCTGAAGACAGAAATCCTCACGAGACAATAACGAAGGATGAAATGCGAAACTCAACTAATTATACCGAAGCTCTGCAATGTTCGCGGATCATGGTTTCTCTCATTCCGTTGTCGGTCCTCATATTTCACAGAACAATTACCCAGTACGGAGATGAGTCGTCGTGCGTTACGGACGAAACGCCGTTACACTGGCCGAGATGTCACGTTTTCATCTTTGTATGGATTTACCAAATGAAATTCCCCATAACGATCGATCCAAAAATAATAGCAGAGGTTACGAGAATCGCGCGAATCTCACCCTACAGAGTCCGATCCTTTCTTGCCTTAGCCTCGTCTTGCTGAGAATTTTATGGACTTTCAATTCAGAGAAAGAGACTCGAGGTCGAGACGGTGTTGGTCCTTTCTTCAACGACAGAGAAAATGTGGACGGGGTCTCCTTTCTTCCACGACACACGTTTTCAGGCGAAGCACTAACGAGAAAATGATGCTTCTCGACCTTAACAAGCATGAAGCGCGTGAATGACTCGAGATCTTTCACAAATTTCAACTTTCTGTCGGCGAGGCTTGAAATACACTTAGAATCTGCTGAGACATCGTACCCGAATTAAGAGCACAACACAACGCCTACCTGGTCGCGACGAAGTCAAGCTGCTCTCCCGCCACCACCAGAGTCAGTACTAAAACAGAGGTTCCTCATTCGTCCGCAAGAGTGCAGCGCGGTTGGGCATTAAGCATGGCGCCACCCAGAAAGAGGAAACGTGTATCGGCTGATGAGGAATCTGATTCCGATGACGAAAGAGAAAATGCCCTCCCAACTGTGCGTTCATCGGATGAACCTCCGCCAAAAAAGGTCAGCGAGTGATTTCATTATTCAGAAGAAGCAAAGCCCTGGAGTTACATGTGCGTATTTTTATTATTTTGTTTCATCGTTTAGACCAAGTGGATTAACCGGCAACGCGTGCTGGTGTTTGCAAGTCGAGGTATTACGTTTTTGCAGCGCCATTTCATGGAGGACCTCAGACGACTTCTGCCGCACAGCAAGCCCGAAGCAAAGAAGGAAAAAAAAGAGTCACTGATTGCCATAAATGAGGTATATATTGCTTTATATCTTTAAGCCAGTGTTGTGAAAATCTCCCCTTTTATTCAGGATTTGTTATTTTTTAGATCTGCGAGATGAAGAATTGCAACAAGTGTATGTACTTCGAGGGCAAAAAAAAGCAGGACCTCTACCTATGGATGAGCAATGTTTCACAGGGTCCTTCCATGAAATTCCTTGTTGAGAATAGTGAGCGATTTTGTAATTTCTTTGGAGATGATTTTCAAACAAAAGTATGACATGCTGGATTTTCATTTCAGTTAACACAATGAAAGAATTGAAGCTAACAGGGAATTGCCTCAAAGGATCAAGGGCCCTTCTGGCCTTCAATGAAGAATTCAACTCAGCCCCTCAGTATTGTCTAATGAAAGAGATGCTGACTCAGGTGAATTTTTCACTCCAGAGCCTCCCACCTCCCCTTTTTTTTCCCCAGAAACAGAGCTTGACTTAGTATGGTTTCACTTGGCTATTTCAGGTGTTTGGAACTCCTCACCACCATCCCAAAAGCCAGCCATTCATTGACCATGTCTTCACATTCTGTATAGTGGACAAACGAATCTGGGTACGGAATTACCAGATCTGCGAGGAAGATGGCTCTTTGATTGAGATTGGTAAGAAAATTTTCTCAAATATCTTCCTATGAAATCTGGAAGGAACTCATACATTTTGAACTTGTTTGGTCTTTCTAGGCCCAAGATTTGTGTTGAACCCAATCAAGATTCTGGAGGGAAGCTTATGGGGACAGACACTGTGGGAAAACCCTGACTATGTCTCACCCAACATTGTGAGGACTTTAGAAGTCTTGTCATTTAAAAGTCATTGTGAGGACTGAAGTATAGTTGCACATGGTATATTATCTAATAACATATTGTTATGATTCTGCAGCGAAGGAGGATGCTGAAAATTGCCAAGTCAGGTCGCTACATGGACAAGCTCATGCAAAAGAAATCATTGGAGAAGAGGCGACCAGCTGTTTCCTATCCTGTTGACAAAAGCATGGATGTGTTCAGCAGTTAATTTTCAAATTCTGTGACTTGGCAATAAATTCATTTGTTGTTATTAAGAAGCATTTTCAGTACTGACCACCTATGTGCCTGATGCAGGTATGCTTCACTTCCACCGTGGTTAACCCTTAACTGATTTGTTTCTCAGGGAATTTTTTACGAGCTCTGAGGAAATTGGATGGTACTCTTTGCTCATGTATTTACTTGATAAATTTTTGGCACGAATCAGAAGTGGAGAGAGCAGAGAATGTTTTATTATAAAATTTAGGCATTTCGCCCATGAATCTAACAGTGCAGAAACTGTTCTCTTGGTCGACGTTTAAGGGAAAAAATAGTGGCCATCAACTTCAATAGTCTATTGCTGAGTTCTAGGGATGGAGAGGTAGGTCTTTTGTGCATTTATGTGTGGGAGGAATCTCAGTCCTTTAATATCATGATGGGAAAATGATAAGGAATCAGGCTGGACCGGATGAATGGGAAATTCATAATAATAATAAATCTCACATGTGCCATAAATAGAGACTTTCCCCTGCTCCACTTCAAATTACTCCACTAAATTTGAGATGCTTAATCAATCTGTTTGGGGAAATTAATCCATGCGTATCATAAAGCCATTCCCAGCCCTATATATTCCCATCCCATCCATGTGGAACCAACAACGTTTTGAATGACAAATTGTAACTAAATATTTGCGAAACCATCTACGCACACTGGATGTGACACCAGGTAACAGAAGTTTCAAACTTTACATGATTATGGATGAAACTCTATAGAAGGCATCTTTAGGAAATATACCTGGTGTCACATGTGCAGGTCATTTCCCATAATTTTCCTGAAAAGAGGACCAATTCTACTCAGACGTTTGCGGTATCACCTACTTGTGTTGTCACCCCATGGACATTTCCTTTCATTATTATCCATTGTTTTCCTTCTGTAGGCTTCTGAATTTGGGGACTTTTTGGGCCACCTGATAATCAGGGTAACACAGCTCACAATTTTAAATGGAATATGAATGAGGAGGCCTAAGAAGCAGAAATGTTAATTTGCCTGTGACAAATTATGACCCATTCTGTTTACATTTTACCCTGCATGGAATGGAACTCATTCTTGCATGAACTTGAACACTCAATTTATCACTTCATCACTAGATATGATGCATAACATGGGATTAGGAATAGTGAAATGACTGTATTGATCCCCAAGCTGAATAAATGCTTTAGGGGAGGCCAATGCTAAGATAATGTCAGCCTCCAAGGACAAGAAAGGCCTTCATAATCTCTATGACTCGTGATATGAGACATGAAGCAGTGGAGGGCTCTATCTGGAAAATCCAAGCACATAGAGGGATTCCACATGGGAAGTGTGGCTAAAATCTTTCCAAAGTTCCTTCATTTTCTAACACACACTTTCAAATGAAATTTCAAAATCATATAACTGTGCTTTCCAGCTCTGCATGTGTCAAATATGAAGCCCATTCTACTTTACATCCTGGAGAAATCTGCCATTATGCCATCTGACATTTTTGTTGGATTTCTCTATGGCAAACCGGTTAAGAGTTATAGCACATGCTAAGTGATATCATGAAACTGACCAAGAACATATACTCACCAGCAACAAAAAAAAGCACAACCAAGGAGTTGAATGATCTTGATGAAATTTGGAACACAACCTAGTACTAACACACCATGAAATTATTTAGTTTCAAGTGTGTGGGATGAAAAAGTCACTGAGAAAACAATCCAAGTTCCATAGTGGTTATGGGGGTCATACTAATTGCCCATAACAATCAACTAGGTTTTTACTGGTGAAATTGACAGGGAAACTCCTAAAGATGTGAAGAGAAATTGAGCAAAGTTTTGAGTTCATGAGATGAGGCATTGCAGAGAAAACTTGCCAAATGCCTGAGGAACTGAGGAAGAGGGCAGCATCAGTATCCATTTCTCTTTCTCTCAAACCCCTTCACTATAGGGCCCTTGTTGAAAGTTTAACTGTGAGGCAGTACAGTTAAACAGTCCCCATAGCAGCTTGAGGGAAAAAGAAAAGGAAACTGGTGCCACCCTTCCCCAAAATCCTTGGGCATTTGGCAAGTTTTCTCCATGAATATTCACCCCAGACACTTGAAAAACTAATTGATATGGTGAGCTAGTACAGGCTTGAGAAACACATTTGAGATACCAGTAAAGAGTGTGGAAGAAATCCAGCAAGCTCAATTCCAAGTGTATAACTTTATTACTTGTGGCATCATATAAAATAGAATACACTGATGGAAAGACTTATTCGTTGGGCTGATATGAGTATGAAGTATAGCATAATCATAAAAGGCAAGACATGAGAATTTGTCTTTCTGAAATGTGGCACAACATGCAAGGCAAGTGATGACATGAATGGGTAAAAGAAATTTGCATAAACCTAATAAAAACTGTCATTGAACATATGATGCGTAAATGAAACAATGAATTTGCACGAAAAAGCTGCAGTCAGCATACTAGTATTTATAGATATTTGGCATATGTGACAATTGTAACTCCTATATATGAAGTTACTATGTAAAAGCAATGATAAAAAAGTTATAAAAAGGGATAATACATTATCCTAAAAAAAAAGCATGCTGATCACATTAACAAATGCATTCTAATATATATTTTTAATAGTTAAAACTAATAGTATTTAGAAGAGTGCTTCAAATGAAGTTCAGTTCAGAAGTCTTGATTCATACCAGCCCTTCCACTTTTTATTTTCTGCAAGTCAGCAGCTATCTCCAAATTCTTCCCCATTCTCCCAGGTCTTGCCCTTTTCTCAATACTCCAACTTTCGACAGCACGAAAAAATGAATCCTTACTTTCACCACCCAACTGCAATTGCTGATGGAAAGAGATCACAGAAGACACAACCATAACAAAGACCTCTTCCATCCTCCAGAAGGTAAAATAAAAAGAAAAAAAAAGCAAACCAACACAAAATGGCAAAAAATGATGAGAATATGCTTTGAATGAGATCATCTGATTATATGACATTTGACTCGATGTAGGACCCCGACTGGGCAAAACAAACATGAAAAAATATCAAGAAAGGAAATAACAGGGAGCATTGTGCACAAAGATCATGAACCGGGTGATAAAAAGAGAACACTGATCACATAACAGAAGGGTCAAGACGTCTTGTCTCACGATTCCCAGGGCTTTTGGTATTGTGATTGTGCCTCTCCTGCTGTAGCGAGTCAGGTGCATCAATGGTCATGAAGCGGAAAAGAGTCTGCGGTGAGTGAAACTCTCGACCATCAGTGCCATCATTCGTGTTGTAATCCTCACAGAAGCACAGGAACAGGGTGTCTATGACCATCTATCAAATTGAGATGTAAAAAAATTGGTATATATAACAGCATAACATTATATATGTGCATAATTCATGCAACAATGAATTGCTATGAATTGTTATGTGAGCTCCAGCTTACTGAGATTGGCAATGTATATAATATGTATACTTGTTATTCTGAAGTTCCCATCATAATCAAGCACCAAAATGTAAACCCTTTGATAATACCAGTAGTAAATACAGGAAAAAGTTTTGGGAAGTTCTTCATTCATATACAAAGATTAGACTTGAAAAATTTTCTTTGGGAAAAATACTGCACATGGCAGGCTAACTAGTGCAAATATAAAATATTCTGTATGAGAATACCAAGATTCCTGACCTCATAAACAGAGAAGACACAATGAGCGATGAAGTAAGCAAAGAGGCATGTGACGACAAGGGGAACGGCATAATAGTGGAGCTGTGAATCCCCTTTCATAATGAGGAGAGCGACAAGTCCTGTCACAGCTGTAACAGTGACCTTCCCCAAGAACAGAATGAAGTCTCCAACACTGTTGATGGCAGCCACTTGTAGTGCATTAGATGCCAGGGTTCCAAATGCCTATGAAAAACTCCAGAATAGAATCTGAACTTACACAGCTGCTAATGACTAATACAAAAGAAACTCACTGTGCGAGCAGCAGGACAGAAATCTACACCCTCAAGTGCAATCACAGTATAAGCATTATGATTGAGGTATTTGATGAATTTCTCCAGGCAGTAAAAGCAGCCATGGCAACATTTCAATGCCCATTCCACAATGCACAACCCCTCCTGCTTCTTCAATCTATGGGAAGGAGGATTCTTATGATACAAGGAGACATAAAATGGCACTAAAGAGATATTCCAGAATGAAGCTCACTGTCTTTTGAGCCAGGCCAAGAAGAGCCTGGGAAGTTTAAAGAGAGTGATGACAAAAGAGCCTAGTGCAACTGAGCCCAGATGATAGACAACCAAGCGTCGAGTTGCACGACAAACCATGCATCTCACTCCACCTTTGTCCCTGGAAAGGGAAAAATTACATAAAGTTATACATGTAGGCAAGAGATACTGCTTTTTCATTCATGATTCATTGCTAGGGATGTATATGAGGCTAAGACCAGAATAATGGTGGTACAAATGACAAGATGTACTGTACATAATATATAGAACTTACCTGTAGAAGTACCACTGAGCAACAGTGCCTGCTATGACCATTTGCTGGCAAGCCAAGATGAACTCTGAGATCCAGATCAAGGCCAAGACATGGAACCACCAAAAGTATTGAATCCATAAGGGGTCAACAAACTTCATCAGGCTGAATTCTGTTGGTCAAAATGTAAAACTGTGATATTCTTAACCAACCCTTCCTTTCCCTGACCAAGATATGATCTAGATGCATACCCTTTTGAAGGGCTGTGGCTTCATCTAAAACAGAGGTTTCCCCTGAATCCATTGTCCGCAGGATTGAATGGCTAAGATTGGATGGAGCATTGTGTATCTCCCGCATTACATCCTCTTTTTGGGCATGATCTGATAAAATAGAGGTCATATTCACAGATACCAGCTATGCACATAAATATAACAAAAAGAAAAATGAGAGAACCATACTTGCAGTGGAGAGTGCGATCATGACAGCAGTCCAGTAGAGAAAGAAGAGAAGGAGAGTGAGAAACGTCCAAAGTGGCTGGATGAACAGAAGGGGGACATCACGAAGACAGGCACTCGCCTCCCAAAACAAATGAACTACTAGGGCAACTCGTCTCCTCAGCACTATCATTACCAGTACCAGAATAACCTGATGTGGAAAAGAGACATCTAATAATTGATCATAACATTCTCAGATTTGTAAGGATGCAAAACAAGTGTAGTTCCCATACTGTGGCAATAGTGGATAAGATGGCCAGAGTGAGGAAAGCAGTTTCATTTTCAGCCATCTCTACCAAGATTTCCACAGGTGGGGTTATGTCCAGTTCAGCCTTAATGCTGCCATATGTCCACCACAGCAGGCTGGTCAGAACTAGAAAATAAAAAAAGACATGGAAGCACAAAACATTTTCATTAAAATTGGACATTTTTAAACTACTTTAAAAACTGGTTTAATATTTTAACTTGAGTAAGAATGTTGTATGGCTGTTTGAAGGATGTGTGCACAATTTAATTTCGGCAACAACAGAAATAATGACTATCACTCAGTGAGAATAATGCTCATATATATTACTTGCATTGGTCCTCAATGGTCTCTGAACCACATCCACAACTTGAATGTGATGAAAATCCACTATCCACAGCATGCTTAATTATGCTGAAGGGTAGAAGGTAGTAATGATGTTACACAGTCATTGCTGTCTTCAACATCCTGCAGCAAAATTAAATAGACTAGGCAATAGACTAACTCAGGTTCATGTAGCCAGTGTGCCTCAAAGATAAATGGAGGATAGTTTGCAAATTTTACAAAATTAGCCTTATTTTCAAGCAGATTCAAAAATACCACAAAGCAATAAACAAACCATGAAAACATAATTAAAAAATGCTGCATACTAAAAAATAAAATTTTTGGAACAAAAACTAAACAAGGTCCATTCAAAAAACCATTGCATATACTTACTGCAATACTTTCCAGAAAAATTAGGGCAACCAATGGATATATAAGTTTTCAATTTAATAAATAGAATTTTCAATAAGTTGATACTGTTGACTGATCAAACACTGAGCTTAATTTTCTCTCTCAATTTTAGGAAAACACTTCAAATGGGATTACATCATGAGAGCTTTGCTTATATAATTGTTTCATTCAATATCTACCAAATCCATCAGCTTCCTATCTTTATATGACATTTTGCAGGTGTATTGCATTGGGTATGCATTGAGGAAATTAATTTTCTCCAAATTTATCTTTAAAAAAAAACTTTGTCTGATTAATCTATTCAAACTGGAAGCTTTAATATAAAATAAAAACACCTCCAAGTACACTGAGAACTTTTATGCCACTTCAAAATGAATTCATTTTAAGATATAAGATAAAAATTCTTATTCACCAATTGCTGCAATGGAGACGGTGGCCATGAAAATCCAGGCAACCAATGCTGTTAATACATAGATCAGGTACACCATGATGAAGGAGATCACTGTGGAAATAAAACATTTCATTAGCTATGTGTGGCAAACACCAATAATCGTGTACAGATTTGATGGGCAAGGCTCACCAACAGAGAAGAAGACAAGGCCAAGGATTTCTCTCCAGGAAGAATACAAGTCACTGATGATTTGCTGAAGAGGATGAATACTATTTAGGTATCCATAGAGATTGTATATGATGTCTGCACTCACGCCTTGTGCCCTCTTTGGGACACAGCGGTTTAGCACTGGTGAACTATCAATTTCACAATTTAAGAATTCAGGCTAAATGGAATAGAGGGATGGTATGCTTTCAAGGAGGTATGCAAGTCTCAACCAAACATGAGTAACAAACCTGGCATAAATTGGAGGAGGTGGACATGGTCCCAATGGACTGGTCAAGGGTATAGTGATATTCAAAGAGGAGTCTGGATGAACATAGTAAGAGTTGTAGTCATACCTATGAAGGAGAACACCATAAGCCAGAACACCCATCAGGAATGAAAGAAATTGAAGTAGGTATGGCTAGTTCTGTTATGGATTTACTTTGTAAAATACAAAAGAAAAGGAAAATATAGGATAAAAAACATTCCTGAAATGATGACATGCAATTCCAAAAAAAGAACATAAAAGATCTATAGTGTGTGAAAATTAACTATAAAAAAAGAGTATCTTAAAGACAGTAGAAAAGGCAAGCAATGCATGGTTTTTAACTATTGCCTTCAGGATTTTTAATATGGGCTTTCCTTTCCTCTTACTTCCAAGAAATTAGCACTTGAAAAATATCCCAAAATTCACCTTTTCACAACTGTGATCTTGGCATTTTAGGATTTTCATCTTTAGATTCTTGGATTTCCCAAGCAGGACAAGGAAGTCCATCATCTTGCATGATAATTACTTATTAAATTTTTTAAATGTAATATAACATAAAATTATGATTTAAATTTGGACATTAAAAGCAGCAGCAGTTAACCTCTTCAGGGGTGAATTTTTTACACACAAAAAAATTAAAAAAATTAGAGGTGTAGAGTACTTTGCAAGCTGGGGGAACAGTGATACCAACTACAATGAAATCTCCCAATAAATTGGCAACATCTGTGGCATCTGAGCAGTTGGAGATCAGTTTTTGACCAATTTAAAATGCATCAAATCAAATGTCCAAATTTGTGCCAGTATCCCAGAAGAGATTAAAGTAAATTCCTAAGTCTGTTCACCTCTTCTGTTGCTTTCAAATTTAGCTTAGGTACCATAGAAGTGGCCAAATAATAGGCCATGAGTCAATCCTAGTCTGCACCATCCTTGCAACTGGCCCCTGGACTAAAACCAGCCCAAGAGGATTGGCTGAACCTTTGAAACATGTTACTCAAAGTAATCCACACCTTAGTCTATTCCTAACTATGATGTCCCATCAAAAAATTGGTTCCCTCTGCTTCCTGAAACAGACCTAGATATACTTTCTTCCTCTACCAAATAAGAATGCCTTTACCTTACCTGCATAGCAATGATCCAGTTTCATTGTAAAATGACAAGATGTCTTGAAGAGAATCCAGTCTTTCACCAGGACACTCCTTCACACAGATCCTCAGTGAATGGTACAAGTCTGTCATGTCAAAATAAAATACATATCTGGAAAGGAATAGAGACAACTATATTGTTTGCATGTCAGGATTTCCCACTTCATTTCTTCAAACCTATTTTTGGATGAAAAACTCACGGATGATCAGTCATGTCCATCCCAGAGTAAGAGAGGTTTCCGAGTATTTCATTGGTAGTGCCACAAGTGTTTCCAAAGCTGTCATAGCCATTCACCAATCTCAAAGGATTTCCATATACCAATGCAAATGCAGAAATGAAAATCTGAAAAAAATGATATGCAATACCATGAAATGAGTTCTAGTATTTTCATAGTTTTTGTACTAGGCCAGTCCTTGAGACCAAGAAAATGTGAACCCTCATAATGAAACCAGTCCAAAGGTACTTTTATTTATTCATACTTAATCTGTAGTTTTTAATCAGCAGTAATTATCCATATTTGCTTTATTTTATAATCCACAAGTGCAAAAATGCTATTATGGCAAGGGGTATAAGTCTTTAAATCTCAGCCTAAAACTGCTATTGAGTAATTACCTCAAGTTGTATTAGTATGCACTTTTTTTTAAAGCAATAATCGGTAAACCAATACAGTAAAAAAAAAATACGCCCCTACCCAAAAATTAAAAAAGCTTAGGCCTACTTATACCAACTTATTGTTTAATTTAAGAACAATAACACAACCTATTTGCAATCGGTCAAACCCTGGCCTGCATCAACTAAGCATCTTGCCTCCCATAACCAATACATAAGGTTTTCTTAGTCTCTGAGGCTTCAACCATACGACTGCTAATATGACTCACCAATATAAACAAGAAGACGATGAAAACGACGAGACAGGGCAGATCCGTGCACTTGCGATCCACAGTCCATGGTTTCGGCCTTCTTTCCTCAGGACTCGACACCTTCCCACAACATCCTTCCATGGCCTCACCTTAACCTATGAGTTTTCACTCATGCCATGGAGAAACCTTGGTTAGGATGCAGAATACCTTTCGCTATGCAGTAAAGCGCAGGATTAGCACATGGTCTGTCGACCATCGCCATTGGGCAATGAGCACTTTCGACTCTTGATAGTAGCTTGATGAGGCAATCTTCAAAAGGTTTTGTTTGGAATGAGTCAATAGGTTTATTGTCCACGATACATGTATGTACGGGGCGCAACTGAAAGAGCAGTTGTTCTGTAGGCAGAGGAATAGGAGCACTACGAACACACATGAGGGGGGGCAGGGACAGCATTGAGAGATGGGAAGACAAAACATGGGGAAATTGGAGGATGCATGATCATCGGGAAAATCTAAATTTCCTAAAAGGATGAATCCTTTCCAATGATATTATTTCATTCAATGCAATCCTCCAGAGTGCAATCTTGTTTCCTTTTTTCAGCAGTCTTATAATTCTCGGTATCCAAGCGTAAGAGCTGTGGTAGTCTATTGTCTCGTCGAATTGCTGCGTAATACACTGGGAGGCTATATGATGCTATTCTGGTTGAGTGAAGTCATATCGTACCTCTGTTGAATGGTTCTGGAAAGAAAGGGAGATTTCCCATCTTGGCCTGTGAAGAAAATGGCCAGAAACGAGGGTAAGGACTTCCCCTTCCGTGCGACCATCAGCCACTCCGCCACTTCAAGACTGCCATATGGGAAGGAGAACCTCGTCTAATGCACGCGTTTATTAGAGAGCGAATGGACGCTAGAGTGCAAATCCGTCTCCATTATCATCAAGCCTGTTTCTCCGAATTGGATGGCCAAACGACGTAATTCTCAGGAACATTATGCTGCCGTGAAGATAGACTTAATCGACTTCAATGTTGCGTACCGTATCAATCGGTGTCAGTCGGAAGAGGGAGTTCTAAGAATCACAGCTCACCAAGCAGAAAAATTCTCGTGCTTCGAAGCTCCAATCGTGTTAGCATAACTATTCCAAGAAGAGAGTCGGCACCACTAGGACTTTTTGAAGGCGAGGGTTCGGGGTTTGTATCTGACATTAATAGATCATTTTCATTTTACTTAACTTCAATTATAATATATAATTTTAAAATTTTGTTAGGTTTCCCGCTTCACTCTATTCTTTAGAACAGTTTTAATGAGGATAACATTTCTGCACCAAGCAAAGCGCAGTATCTCTTCCGAAAGTATTTTTTAAAAAAATAGCATGCAGCAATCCAATGACGGTCCGATTTCAATTACTCCTGTTCCACTTAGCTATGCTCTCAAATTCAATGTTTTTTTAGTTCTAATCCTCAAACTCCGCCCGCCCAATTCTGTACGCCACTAGTCGGTACCATATAATATTATATGTGACCTCACGTTTCTTCCTCGTGCAGTCGTCGAATCGAGGACGAAAAGACACCAGGTTATGAGTATATAATGTTTCTTCGATCCCTGCGGAAGTCGACGCATTTCTTCTTGTCTACGTGGAAACTTTGAATTTGTGGTGCAATTATCTCGGTGCAATTATCATTATGGCAAATGGGATTTGGGAGGAATTTAATATGTGAATATACGGGCGGCAGTCAAATGAAAACGGGACATTCTCGGTTGTTGCTCCTAACGCACATGTCCCGTTTTCATTTGATTGCTCCTCGTATCTTTCCTGCCTTCAGGGGAATTTTCTCGGTAATTGAATCGCCCCAGATTTACGTCTCACATTTATTTTGACGGCGATGTCATGCAGGAGTATTGATGGACTCAGTATCATGAGAAATTCGTACAGAACGGAATAATTGTGATTCGAGCGATGATGTGATTCGATGATCGTACGGAATAATTGTGATTCGAGCAATGGAAAGGCTTACATAGCCTTTCCATTGCTTGAATCACAATTATTACTCGTGGAATTATGAAATCGGATTTGTACAATCTGCAAACTCTGTCCAGTAATTTGATTCTATATGTAGATTTACGTCGTTTTAAAGTTTGAAATTTAGATGAATTTTGGGATTCACAGAAAGTTGAATTCCGAATTTTTTAAGCAAATCGTCAGCTGGAGTACACTACTACAAACATCTTAGAACCACGAACAATGCATTTGAACGATGACCTCGACGGCCATCATTTTCGCACTTTCCCGCAGAGCTTTCCCTTCAAAGTTTCTCGAACCGGGTCACATTTCTGACATCCGGCGTGCTTGCCGTTCGTAGTCGGACTGACTACTCGTACGAGGGAGAAATGGAATCCCAGACATCCTCCTTCACCTCAACGCGGGGAGGAAGTGGGGGAGGAGGGGAAGGGAGGGATGATTCGTCACAGCTCTTTCGTCTCGTTTCGGGTTTCGAAGTGCATGGATGTCGCTGGGAATCGCGGGGGGATCGCATCGATGGAGGCCTTTCATGGATGTGTCTTATCAGCCGTGGGTGGGGGAATCCATGGGAAACATCCATAATGCATGGCTGAGTGGTGTTCATTCGCTTGGTTGCGATCCGAGTTGAAAAGAATTTCACAGGTTTCATTTGTGTTTCACCACTTGGTCGAAGAATCGACCCCTGAAAGATTTCCATCGATGACGTCATTGTAGCTTCTGTTAAAAAAAAAATGCTCACGTTTCTAGGGTTACTACTTGAGCGAAGGCCTGAAATTTCGAAATTGCAGCCCGGTCCCAGTTCGGTCGCAATTCGGTTCCAGCATTAATACAATTCCAATTGGGATTTCGTTGTGAGAGTGGTTGAAAAGAGCACAGTGAAACTTCTGTCAGACCAATGTCTGAAACTGAAACCATTAATAGAACCTAATTGCAACTGAACTGCCGCTTAGAAATGGCCTGCGACGCAATTCATCTCCCCCTCCAGATCCCAAATTCATCTCCTCGCCCTTTCCCTTGAATTACTTTCGGTCGCCTCGCCGAAACCCCGATCGTACACGACATAAACACTGTTCACACACAAGAACCCGGAGATGAATTCTCGTGGAAACAATTTTCCAGCCTCGGTGTTTGAATAAGCGAACTCGTGCACGAGCGAGAAGCGGCGAGATGGCATGCTCACTGCGTCACTCGAAAGAGAGACTGAAATCCTCGCTCGGGTTTCCCCATTCAATTCGAGCCTGACCTTCCATGGTTTTCTCCCCTTTTTCTTCCGATTTGCACGAGCGGAACAAATCGAGCACGTAGAAGGGAATGAACCTGCTTTCCTCGTTTATGGCGCCCTTGCCCCCCCTCTCCCTCATGAATATGCGGAGAAACTCCTCGTGGAAAAAAAAGTGATTTATTTTGAAAAGCAGTGGCAACAGAATGTTTTATTTGGAAATGCATGGGATATAGGACGCAGCAGCGGATGCAAGGAATTGGAGTTTTTGCCATATCGCCTCCCAATCGCTGTCAAAATCCCCCGTTTCCCCATCTTCGTGGCGGCCCGGCTTCAAAATCGGCTCTTTCGCCTTCACGAATTTCTGTATCGATGTGGGAAGAAGGAGTGAGAGCCAACTCTGGCAATTGTGAAATTCCATCAGAAGAAACAGTGAGTCAGCACGATAAGCGAGACGATAAAATTCTTTCCTATCGCTTCCAAGAGATCTGTCTGTCACGCGGCGGAGACGATTCCGAGCGCATAAAGGCTCTTTGATATTGTGTCCTTGTCCTTGATCGTCCTTGACGAAACCCGTCGCCGTTCCCGCTGTTTCATTCCACTCCACATTGACCAGTGATGCAGAACCCTCGATTTGGCGTGCCACAGAGAAAAAGCAATCTGACTTACCAAGGTCTCGAGTCCCTATCTTAACCCTTTCGTGCCGGATGGTCCCGTTTGGAACCTTTCTGAATTTTAAGTCCATCGTATGCGTGCTTGCGAGCTATCGTCAGCATCGACTCATCAGACCGGTTCCTGTCAGCAAGATTAAGATGATAACAGCCTCATTTTATCAGTGCGAGTCTAGTAAACGTCTCGTAAGAGCGCATTATTATATCCTCTGCGTGAGTTTGAGCTGAGTTCCTTTTCCTAAAAATTCAAGCATGAAAGGGTTAAAAGCTGGGACGCAGCCAGATGTAAAGAATTCTTAGTAAGGAATAGCCAGATAGGAATGTTGCAGCCTTCGATACGTTGGGATGTTTACAAATTGTAGGCGGAGCGGGGCATCATAATGCGTATAATAATTATAGCACGGTGTCCCCATCCAATTACAGGTGGATTAGAGGTCAGTGCTGTGGGCAGGACAGACACGGGGGGATTAGGCTAATTGGGACATGCCATTCTTCGGGGAAAACTGGTCAGTTGTAGCCATGGGAGGAGCCATGAGAGGAGCCATGGGAGGAGCCATGAGCGGAAGTGCAACGGGGCAGAATCATTTCCTGGAGCAGGCGAGTTAAGACCGGCTTCGGAATTAAATGTGAACTCTCTTGGATTTCCCTTTGAGGAGTATACAGAGTTTTCACTCTGGAAGGTTTTCAAAAGGAGATAAAAGCAGAAGAAATCAACTGAAGACAAAAGAAAATGCGTCGAAAAAGGTCCTAATGAAATTTAAGAGGAAAAGCCGGGTTCTCCGAGAAGAGAATCGGGTAGGACGAGTACATACCTTCATGAAAGTGTTTCCAGGAGCTCTCACGACGGAATAGATGAAGTATCCGGGGACGAAGAGAACGGACGAGAGGATGAAGAACCAGCCGAGACCGTTCCCCCAGGCCGGGAACACGTACTCGCCCATCTTCAACGGCCCGAATTCCACGATCGTGAACATCAGCACGGCCTGAAGCAGCGGGCAATCTTTACGTTGGTAAAGTTTTTTTTAATGGGAATTTCGCATTATTTGGGGAAAGAGGGAAAGCTGTGAAGGCGAAAAGTCTATGTAATCCTCTTTAGACTGAATTTTTAGTGTTTGACCCCTCGGGACGGAACTAATTTACGCGAAGAGCATCTTGCATCTGCTCTTAAAAAAAAGAACTGGTCCCATAATTTAAAACGCCAAGGGTGGGGGTGGAAGGAGGAAGTCCGAATGACTACCACTTCAAACTTCATGCATGCGTCCACAAGAAAAAATTTCCGTTACACCGTGCTGCAAATGTTGACCCTTGACTGCGATGCCAGGATAGAAATGATTAGAAAACCAAAATGGAGACGTTCAAGACGGAGGAAAAAATCGCGAGGGATGAGCAAGGACGTCATATTTCAAGGTCTTCAAATCGCTCCTCGAGACATAACTTCCCTGCGGATAAAGTCTCTTTCTATGTCACCCAAGAAAATAATAATAAATTAATTAATCCATGAAATACATTGCCTTTATTTTAGAATGAAAAAGGGAATGCATTTGTGATTTGATTCCTTCCTTTCTCCGAGGCAAGAAAATCCCGACCCCTTCAAAGGACAGGCTTTCCCCATCTGGACCAGAAGCAATTTCGAAATGGGAATGCACACGACGAACACGGGGAACCGACCATTTTTACTATTTTATTTTATTATTTTCTATTTTATTATTTTTAGACTATTTTTCCCTCGTGTCTCGTGCGCAGTTGTACGTAACCGTGAGTTACGTGAACGGAAGAACTTTCGGGTAACGTCGATTCCTTCCTCCTTACGACCCTTCTTAAATCCATTCGAATGCACATCATCTGTCACAAAAGCATAATTTAAAGTGCGAACAGTCTGCTAATTAAAAAAAAAACTAACATGGCAGATGCCGAGCGAGAAACCTGAAGACTCAGATGGCCGTTCACAGCCTCGACAGCCTTCCCGTGTGCAAGCAACAAGTTTGCATAGTTAGAATACGGTTACAATTCCAGGCACATACGCGACGCTCGGCGAGAGAACAAAGGAACGACACCGGAATATTTCACGAGAGTCTTTTCGATTCCCCTGCTGTATACGTCAAGTTTTTTTCTTCACGAACGATTCTGCCACCGCAAGCTAAGATAATCCCCGTCACACACTCCTCGCTCTCAAGCGCACGATCCCACTCGATCTTTACCCTTCTTGGTACGCAGCTGCTTGCTATTGATTGTTCTATTTCGGATAGATGGTTTTAAATTCATTTTCAGTCACTTCAGATCTGAAGCAAATTAGTATTTCCGACCCACAAAAAGCGCACTTCCAGAAGGAAACGAATCAATGGCATCAAATTTGCGGAAGTCGATCAGGATCCAGTTTTTGCTCTCGGTTCTGTGCGTCCCGGATTCTAACTACTTTTTAGTCCTTTCATCAGCAGGTAAATTCTCCAGATTCCAAGAAAGACATACTCAGAAACAAGCTAATTAAACAGTAACTACTTTATGTTAATTGATACAACTTTTTTTTTATAGATTGGTCTACGAGTTTTAGATATTGAATACTTTTCAGTGCTCCAGCCTTACCTTACGGTATTCGAGTTGAGTACTTTTCGGTACTCGAGTGGAGTACTTTCGGCACTTTCAACATTAAACCAGTGCTGGAGACCCTCAAAAGACCAGCTAGAGCAAGACGAATTCAATGGAACCCTATTTGCTGAAACCGGTTGTATTTATTTTTGGTTTAGATCGATCTGTGAGCGTTTGGATAGAGTGCTTCAAAGCACTTACCGTATTGGACGAGCACTTGAGATCACGAAATGGCACTCATGCAGATTCAATCGAGCTCATTTCAAACAGATTACACTTGTTCTACTGAATTCGACGAAAAAACATTGAATTTGAGAGCATAGCTAAGTGGAACAGGAGTAATTGAAATCGGACCGTCATTGGATTGCTGCATGCTATTTTTTTAAAAAATACTTTCGGAACTAGATCGGTACTTTGTTTCCCAGAGAGGCACCGCTCCAGAACAATGAGCATCTTCCTTACCTCATTTATGACCATCGATCAAGGATTTTTTCCTTTAGGACCGTCAGTATCTCAGTCGCCAAAAGATCCGCGTACTTCAGGTCTCCAAACGCAACGGAACGAATCGGAAAAACTTTGTGGACTTGAAAGCATTCTCCAGTGGGTAACATGTGAATTATGGAAGTGGGCGCTACGATCGCCGCTGTACCGTCGGGCAAGAGGAAAAAGACTTTTTTTTGTTCTGTTACCATTTTTACCATGAAGCGACTGATATTTGAATCTCTGAATGGCCACTATATCCCTTTCAAGCGGCGAATGCACCCTCACCGTTATTTTCTGCAAGCCCAGGATGAAATTAAGATGCATTCGCCCCCATATTTCTGCCGTGCGATATGTGGGATAGGAGTTTTCGAAGGAACAAATTCGGAAAAAAAAATGGAAGCCCAATTATTATTATTATTGCTACTCCACGAAATGTCTCCCCGCTTCGCACGGTTGAAAAAGGGGTTTGGTCGCGTTTTCCTTTCATGCTCGGCGCGCACAGTGGATGCATATAAACGTTCTAACGCCGCTGGAAAAATTATGCGATTCGATTAACAGCAGTTTAACACCTTCTGCCCGGTGGTACTCCTTTAAGAATGCCGAAATCTCCCCAGATGATCTTGCTAAGTGCTCACGAATGAAAGAAGCGGCGTGAAGAGGGTGAAGCACGCCCTGAGCCAGATGTCGAGGGCTCGCCTCCACGCGCTGGTGACCCCGACCATCCGATGGATGTCCCTCGACATCTTCCGACTCCCGTAGACCCAGCCGATCGTGATCGCCTCCAGCATGCACAGGAACAGCAGGACCAGCCCCGACGCCGAGTAATAGTCGAACACTTGGAAGAGGTAGATCCCTCCCTGCAAAATAGTACCCTCTTTTTCCAATCTCACGGTAGTTTCTTTGAACATGTTCGCTGCCACCATGGACTAAGGACTAAGACACGAGCTACAACAGATCATTTTCCCGGAAGTCTTAATTTTCTCAAGCACAAAAAATTGCCATATACCGCGCAAAACTGGCTCTAACACTTGGCGAAAGCGCTCATAGATGCCAGACGTGTCATCTTGCGGAGTTACAGATCAAACAGAGCTCGGTTCTTAGGAGACTAAACAGTACCCCTCGCTAATTGGTCGGCTCTTATTTCTCGTCGACATTTTTCTCGAACCCTAAGACGATCGGATTCCTTTCCCTGTCTCCTTTCTGCTCTTATTCATACACTCGATAAGCCAAAAACTCCTCATCCATCAGCTTCTAGAGATTTCGGCTTCGACATTATCCTTTGCCGAGCAAGCAGACGGGACTTTTAAAAGTGACACGCGAAGACAGACATTTCTAGGGGTGTTGACTCATCGCCATCGAGATACCTCTACAACCCGAGGGCCATAATGAAAATTAGCACTTCTCTCTGCTGAAACTTCCACAGCAGCATTTTCCGTTGCCGCTCGCAGAGCAAGGCATAAATAGCATCATGAATAACATGATTCTCTGGTTCATCGATGCATCGTATGACTTTTTTGCTTGATTCTCTGACGATCATTTGACGCCCAGCGTGTCGCTAAATGAATGAATTTATATAATATATTACAAAATTTAGGTTGGAATTTACCTAGAGACATGGAAATTGAAAACTGCGATTATTGAAGAGCATCGATTCTGAAATATTTTTGTTCAACTTCCTATATCGATCCAGATTTTACTCCTCGTTCAATTGGCATAACGAGGGGCAATTAAAAAGTTCCCAGACTTAAGGCCCTTAGTTTGTTCCTCTTGGAGCTGAACCAATTTTCTGGCGAGTTTGTTACATTGAGGCAGCGATGATTTGGGCGTTGGGTGCATAAGTCATTTCTCATCACTTTCAAGCCATTTTTTTTTATCGAGTTCGATTGGCCTCATCGATGGAAGACTCGAGGTCAGAACAGAGTGCAGAGTGAATTTTTGGTGGAAGAGATTGAATAACTCTGAAGACAGGAGTGTTTTTTAGGACTGCCGCCATTTCGAATAATTTTGTGCCAAAAAGTCAAAAGTCACCCTCCCGGAGTCCAGAACTCGCTTCTCTTTTTCAATGATCTCAGAACTGATTCAGAAAGATTTCGAAGCAAGGTTTTTCTAAGCATATCTGCCGCGTCATGAATAGTTTGTCCAGTGGGTAAAAATTACTCCATGAGTGTGCTGGGGACATGGTAATGCCACCCTAGTCATATGTGAAATTAGTATGTCTTGAAGGCATACCTGTTGAAAAATAAGCTCTGAGATCAAATCAGTAAATACATTATTTCAATTTCTTCGTCGCTCAGTCGGGGAACTATTCAATTGCCTCTTGCATATTCTATTCCCATTCCAGATTCTAGTGGGATTCCAACCCTCATATTCGTTTTCAACCGGATCTTGCTATATATATTTTCCTTCGTCGGTTGGTTCAGTTCATCGACCGATGGATCGATGAAGATTGGATTTTAAAAAAAAGTAAACAGACGTCAGTGACGAGGAGAAGTCCGATGAGGAAAGACACGAGGCATGTGAACGTGAGAAGAATCTGTCGACGGCCCCGGAAAGCCCTCGGGAATCGATCGGTGACGGCCGTCATGAATCCCTCCACGCCGACGAACTGGCTGTCGATTCCCACCAGGAGGATCATGAAGAAGAACAGGGATGCCCAGATGGGGGATCCTGGCATCTCTGCGAGGGCCCGGGGGTACGCCTCGAACACCAACCCTGGCCCTGTGCGGAGTGCATGCTGCATTTCATTATCAAAGAATATTAATTTCATGGGCATAGATAATTACAAAAGCAGAAGTAAAACTCAACGTTCAAAATAGCTGTAAATTTGTATCAAAATCGAAGGATAATAAGGAGTGCGGAACCATCGAAAACAAGCCCCGCTTGATTTCGATATTATGACCACGGTATGAGATGCCACGATGACTTCATAAATGTCGGCAGACTTGAAAATGCACGAAGGCAATCGGAGGATTACCTTGGGAGACGACTTCAGAGACGGGAAGCTGGAGGGTATGCGCCATGAACCCGAGGACGGAGAAGATGACGAATCCTGCGAAGATGCTCGTTCCGCTGTTGATCGCGGCCACGAAGACGGCCTGCTTCACGAAGTCGTTTTGGAATGGATTGTAGGAGCCGAGGGCCATCATGCAGCCCAACGCCACGGCGTAGGAGAAAAAGATCTGCGTCCCTGCCTCCAACCACACCTAAGCACACGTAGGCATTGGATCGTCAGCACTACGGTCCGGTACATCTACATCTGAACTCGAGAGCATCCGTCACTGACTCATCATCATGTGGGAGGAAATCGAGAGGATAACTATTTTTCCAAGAGGCAATCGACACGACGGAAGATTGTTGAGACCGTAAAAAAATATCAGATTTCACAAATGCTTGTTCGGAACCGGAGAGTTAGAATTGGAAAGCAAGGGAAAATTAAACTGGAACTGAAGTCTTGATTTCACCAGAAATGGAACGTTGTAGGGACATTATGGCAGAAATGAAAAGAAACGATGCAACTGAACGGAGCGTTTTAATCCTAACGGTGTGTAAGGTCAACGATATCGTTCCGATTCTTTTTCTTCAGGTCCGACATTCTCTTCTCTTCTCAGTCCTCCCATCTGCCTTCATTCTCTGTCACCTGGATGATTCTCCTTGACATAGCCGGAGTTACTTGGTTCGCTCCGATGACTCTGGTGGGCAGGGAACAGTTCTTATCATCTCATCAACAGTTCTCATCATTCCGCCCTTTTATTTAGATTGTCGTCTGAATTGATAGAGGTTGTGCTGATATACTCGCGTCAAATTAAGCTTGAATTTCACGCTTTAGTGGAGGAGAATGAAAATGAAATGTAATTTTTTAATTATCTGTAACCATATCGTTTTGAAATGCGATTACGGAACGGAACTTTACACAGAATGTCCTAGTCAATCGCCCGAGACTACTCTTAGCAAACGCAGTGCATTCCGTGCAACACACGTTAAATAGCAAAATAAATGTTCGGATTGACATACTTCCTTCGCCTCTAGACGCTTCAGGAATAATTCTGGAATTGATTGGCAGGCTGATTCAGCATGAAGTGAAAACCTATGTCTGAAATTTGCTCGTGACGAACATTTTAAGCTCAGTCAATGCATGGGCTTTCTGGTCGTTCATCCGAGCTTTCCACTATTGTTTTCACCCCCAAACACGCTGCTCCTTTATGCAGTATTTTATGCACGATTTTTCACAAATACGTCCGGTCTGTAGGGACAAAAAATGGGCAAGGGAAAGTGACTTTTGAACCACCCATTAGGATTAGGACTGGAACTTTTGAAACAGGATTCAAGATGTACCACAGACGGAACATTTTCTAGAAAATTCCGATGTCTTGTTCCGAACGGGGAATCGTACCTGGGAATCGCCAAGTCTGGAGAAGTTAGGATAGAGATAGTACTTGATGCCCTCGCTTGCTCCGGGCAAGGTCACTCCCCGAATCAGCAGCGCCACCAACATCACGTACGGAAACGTGGCTAACAAAACGAACGCATGCCATCATTCCGTTTCTCGAGGAATCGGGAACGATAGGGACCATCTGCCAGACCGGTGAAATAGACGACCTTGCCCGAGGACCGGATCCCCTTCCAGATGATGGCATAGACGAGGAGCCAGGCGATGAGGAGGGCAATGGCCAATTCCCAGCGAAGCTCTGTCACGTCATCCACTCCACTCGACATCCCCTGGATTCGATATCTAATCCAGGAGAAGATCGGCCAGGATGTTTCAGTACATCAATCGACCACAATAACAAGAGTCGGTGTACACTGTAATATAGATAAATAATGGTTCGGGCTGGAAACTCTTCGATGGTGCTACACCCTTGAAAAGGTTGCAGGTACTGTAGAACCATGCGAATTGGTCCCAGCGCAGACGTAGAACCGTATGAAAGTCCATCGTTCTTGTAGAACTTCTGAAACCGCCCATTGGTTCTAGGTAGGACCATTTCTTTTGCTTTCTCTAAATGGTTCGAAAACGGATCCCTTCAGGGATTGATACTTAAATTTTTTTTTCGCCATGCGCTCAGAACTCTCCCCCTTCCACCGGCCTTGGCGCTTCCTTTCTGCTACCCTGCCTTCCTTGCCTTAATACGCCACTTCGTATGCCCTTAGTGCTGTTTCTCTTCGTGAAGCCTGGATAGAAGGTGACGCCTGTTTCGATTAGTTGCTATTCTCGCTCCTTGCCTCGTCCAGTACTCGCCTCGACTTCGGAAGGTCCCGATCCCACCCACGTTCATTGATTCGACATCAATTTTGGACTTGGATATATTGAATTTAATATCCTGTTGGACTAAGGAATTTCGTACTTTCTGCTTAGTGATTGTGAAGGAAGATTAAAAACTTCCTGAAACTTCTTGAAATATGGAATGTGATATGGAAATGCTAATGCACATGTTGAATAAAGGAAAATGGACATCGACGTGGATGACTGAATTTCACTTTCAGTTTTTCAGCCTCTACAGCGCCCTTGGTTTCATTTGAAGACATAACAATTTGCATTTGTCCCTGTTACTTATTTGAATTCAGCAAACTCCATGAACTAACAATGCACCTACCTAATATTTCGGCAGTGCCGAAAGGCAACTTTTTCGAGCGGACTCTTTCTTAAGAGTCTATAGCACCTTCGAATAAGTGTTGCATTGAGTGAGGGTTCTGAGTGGAACCGAGTCAGTCACAGGGATTTAAGTGACACCCTCTGTAAAGGTGCTACATGTAACCTTCGTAGGTGGTTCTCTGTGGAACCATTAAATGGTTCCAAGAAAGTTTCACCCTAGAACCAATAAACAGTTCTAGGGAGAATCATTATTTGTTACCGAGTAAAACATTGCGACAATAACGAGAATAATAATGAAGTCTTTGGTTTTAAAATGGTAAAAGTTGAAAATTTAATCTATAAAACCACGTACATCTTTTACAAACAAGTCGCAAACCCCCCCCCCCCTCATATTATCAGTTTCAAGGACTCGTTACCAGATAAACTGATGGTTCCCAAATTGTACCTAACACGACCCGGATCAAGGCCCTCCTTACAAACCCAATGAGCCATTGGCTGACAAGCGTAGAAGGAGATGGGGGGAAGAGGAGAAGTGTCGCAGCAACGCCTACAAGATTTCACTGGAAGTTACCTAATTCCACTCAAAGTTGTTTCCGCCTAAAGAACGTCTACGAGCTCCTGTTCTCGAGCTGCCTTCTACCATTGAACAATCTCCTCCCTTTTTGGTAAACCGATTACTCTGGCTAAAAATGGCCGTCAATGAAGCTGCTGCGAACAATGAGCGAGAGACACCAACTTCCAGAACTCGGAGCTGGAGTCAGTGGGGATGACGCCCTCGAGACCCTCGTCCATCGTGCGTCCACCCGGAACGGAGAGGTTATTTGTGCTGTGGAAGTCTCGGCACGCCGGGGTGTTCCAGGTGTTGGTGCACGTGGCCCAGGGTAACTGCGTGCCTTCGAAGAGACTCTTGAGGGCGAAGAAGAGGTAGACGAGGGCCCACGCCAGCACGACGATGTAGTAGATGTTCAGCCAGAAACACACCACCGTCGTCCCGTATCCAATCCCTTCATCACAATTCCTTCACGTAAAATGTTCTTCTTTGACTTAACCTTTGCGTGCATGAATTTTTAAAGCAAAATAAAAATATGCCCTTTATGGTTTAACGTTTAAGGAGGTACTCTGCCGTAGTAGTCGAATGTTCTACTGCTAGAAAGGGACACTGAACAGATTATGTGCCCTTGAGTTGCCTGCACGCACCAAAAGTATCGAGGTATGAATACCATAGCTGAAAACTCATAATTATCGCCAAAAATTTTGCCGTCCACTGCAGTGGACACCATGCACGAAAGGGTTAAAACGAGGAAATTAAAAACGTTAAGTATGTGCGTTAAGTGGGGGGGTTTGCCCCGGGCCTCGCAACTTATTAATCCGGCCCTGCCACGACTATTGCATCTAGTTCTCCTGAGGCCAATGCGCAAGTAGCCTCAAGAATAAGATGACATCATGACAAAGCAAAAAATCTTGGAGGAGCAACAGGCTTGTGGCTTGCTGACAGTAAATTCGTTTATGAGTAAGCAGTTATAGGGACACCCAGAGGTTTCCAGAGGCCCGGAGCAAAACCAAACCGGAGGCCCCCTTGGGGTCTCTTGATACACGAGGCCCGGGGCAGATTGTCCCCGATGCCCACCCCTTTGGGCGGCCCTGACCAGTTTATGCTGGAGTCAGGCCCAGCCCTAGCTACTTAGGCGCTCTGTGCAAAGAGACTCTCAACGACCCCCCCCCCCCCCCCCCCCCCCCCCCCCCCCCCNCCCCCACCCCCCCCCCCCCCCCCCCCCCCCCCCCCCCCTTTAAGAGAGAAAAGTTAATCTCTAGCGTCCAAAGAAACACCGAAGCGGAAGGCATTTCCACTTTCTGAAGTAAAACTGAGGGTGGCATCCATTATTGCTTCATCCATTCTGGCACGTTTCGGCGCCCATGGTAAATTTGCGCCTTGTGCGGGGGCACATGTGGCACATGTCTAAGACCGGCCTTGGCTATAGTTTCCCTACAGGCAACCACAAACGAATATGGGGCATGTTTTCTTCTTTATTAAGAACCGCAAGGAGCAAGACGGTTTCGCTGAGTGGCGTGATGCCATTTATGACATCATAGTCTCCAGTGGAATTTGGCAAAAAATGTTCGGCGTTCCTGGAGAACGTCGATTATCGCTGAGTTATCATGACTGTCGCACTGGGTCGGAAGGAAAATTCAAACAACTCCCTATTTGGCTTCTGGAAGATTTTTTCCATCCTAATCTGAGAAGCCAAAGCCAAGAGCATCCATTGGCGTCCCCAAGGGGGGAGAGTATGGGGGTCATAACCCTCCTTTGGGATACATTTCACAGATTCGATTCTCAAAAAAAAATTTTTTTAATTGGTAATATATGCAGGGTGGGTTACCAACTTTTTCATGTCAATCCCCCTTCCCCCCCTCCATTGGGATTTTCTGGGCACGCCACAGAACATCCATGTGCAGGCCAAAGATGATATTCCTTCCTCAGCAGAACCGTGATGTAATCTCCCAGCAGATCCATCTGGAAAAGCTGAATAAAATTGATTTTTTTTGTACTCTTCATACCGAATGTATGTGTAATCTTCCGATGAAGTACAACGAATTTATCTTTCAAATGGATTTCATTTGAATCAATTGATACTTGATATTGATCCTCACATCAGGGCTTAAGTTGTCGTCGAAGTTCTATTACTAGGCGCACGTTGCATTGGATGGAAGCAGCCGTCTTGGTTTTTTTCGCGGTTCCCTTCAGTATACAAATCGATGACTTCATGTGAGATACCGATGCTCGCATAGAAATGGTTGACATCCCGGTATCGCAACGGGCCCTTCTGAGAAAATGCCTATTGATTGCCAACCGGGGCAACCAAACAATGCAATCCCAATTGATGGCGTCGTTTCTCACGTATTCTAATTTCTGGTTCGGAAACACCTCAAACTGGACCGTATTTCTTTGCCCTCGGTAGCAGCTCTTCTCAGCGTGAAATGCATGCGCACAGTTATTAGGAAAGCAGAACGTGAAGAATGTTCATGGAGGTAAGCATAGGTCTCTCTCAGGCAGCTCTCCCAGGGCCGCCAAGAGGTTTTCAGGGGCCCTTAGCAAAACTAAACCGGAGACCCCTCGGGGGCCCCCTTGAGGCCCCTTGGAGGCCTTGAAGCCCTTAGGACCACTTGTTACAAGGGGCCCGGGGCAGATTGCCCCAATTGTCCCCCCCTCTGGGAAGCCCTGAGCTCTCCTGCTACCTTCTGATTTAGGTATGGTTGCGCGCAGAACCGCTTGGACTCTGCATGTGCTATTCCCAAACCTAATTGCAAGACAATCTCGGAATTGAATAAATTAGGGTCACAAAGCTCTTTTGTATTTCCATTGATTTATTATCACCCATTATAACCTCGGAGGCTTGGGCGGAACAGGAAATCTCCTGTTTCAGGTATGTTAGGAAAGAGTCTTAAAAAATGTTTTCCTACGAAAATAAAACAACAAAAAGCCGTCGTTTCTTTGCAAGGTCGCCACGGAATCTGCAGTTAAGCTGGTAGCCAATATCTCCAGACTGGGGGGCGCCATGATGACATTTCACTATCTCCACCAGGCCCACGGACGGAAGAGCCAACAGAGTTCTGGACATGGTCCTCAGTTCCAGAGGAGAACTTCACCTTCAATGGAAGCACTTTAGACTGCTTCTACGTACCCCTTCTAGCAGAGTGAAGAAATGCACCCCTGATATACTAGCCTAGCGATGGGGTACTGACTCTCCATCATGGCGACACCCAGGGAGGCGGAGGCATTTTGGCAATGTTGTTGATATTCGGGAAGTTGAAGAATTCCAGGGTGTCCTCATAATGAGTGTGTTACTGGACGTTCCATCGCAAATGGCGTTCATATTATCGAATTTTAGGCCTAGACCCCTGTCTCTCGGACAGCCAGGCCATTCCTAGCTCTTACGGTCGCCATCTTGATGAACCAGACTCACTTCGTGTAGCTAGTATTATTGCATCAAATAGGCGTAAAATACTTGGTTTTGAACCGCTCCATCCTGCCACTTAGTATTATGTGTACCATTCATGGAGGAATTTATGGAAGGCCATGTAACAAGTTCTTCAGGGACACTTTTAACTGTTATAATACAGACGAAAGAGATTGAGCAAGTTGAATCCTTGATTTTGGAATTTATTGCATAATGCCCGCTTGTTGGCAGTACTCTTCCCATTAAATCAGTCACTCATTTGCCTGCCCATCCCATGCATCAGTTTGTAGGTCTGGAATATGTACTCTGTTGTTCTGTTTCTGTAGGTGAGATGATCGAGTAAAATTAAGCCTACTTGACCTTGAAGCCATTTGATGGCTTGAATATTGCATTTGAAGTGTACTAATCAAACTGATGCAAAGTATTCTAGCTGTGATCCGAGTGTATGGAGCTTGTATGGAGAGGAATGATAGCTCTTGAATTATCCAGTGGAGAGATAATATAGAAGTTGTGTCATATAATGTGAAGCATCACAAAGCAATTAGGTTTATGTTACTTTGTAGAACTTCCCAATGAAGTTACCACCTACTTGGTTTTCAGCCATATGGTCTGCTTTATCAGTATGTTTATTCAGTTGAAAATTTTGTATGTGTAGAATGGGAAAATGTCTGGTATGGACAGATGGTTGTTTAAAAATATGCCACATTGGTCTAATTTATTTTGAATTTAGATATGAGGGATTGTTGAAAGACTTTTATTGATTTTCAGGGCAAATTGAAAACTAGGGTATCATCTCACGCATGTTTTGACAGGTATCATGAGGTGTATTCCTGGTTTTGTTCAAGGTCGTCTTAGGCTTATTAGCCCAGAAGGGCAAAGTATTGAAGGTGTGATGTTATTAAGAATCTCTCTTAAGCCATATTCCAACTGAATAATTTGACTTCCTCAAAGTAAATGATATTTTATTGTGTGATATTCTTCCAAAAGGTCCTTGAACAAGCAATTTTAAACTGGTCTGGTGCTGATGAAAATCATATTTGCTATAGTAATTTTTTCGTGGTATGAAACATTTTGATAATAAACTCTACTGATGAATAATGTAAAACAATTGCTGGAGACAACTGCTGAAGAATGTTGGAACCTTATCTATCCTGCACTCAGACTGGTCATTGACTTTCACTGGTCACTGTCTAGCTGTGGAGCTAGTCATTGACATTGGAATACTGCCCTCCTGCACAAAGTGCTTTGAAATTAAATATGTATAATGCTTTTTTGTGTTTATTTAGAGAGAGCCCCTGCAGACACATATAGCACTTCCTTCCTAATGGACCTAGGTGAATGATACCTCACCAATATAGAAAGCTATGGGAAATCAGCAAATGCTCCATTATTCATCTAAGACTAGACTGGCTGCCAGACACTCTTGAATGTTATTCTTCAACTGATAGAGTAGAGTAGAGGTGATGTCTCACTAATGTGTGTTTAGCTACTTGCTTGTTGGCAACTGATGATAGTGTTTAAGGAGGTAGCTTGCTAAAAGTTGGATGGTCTCTGAAAGGTGTAGCATGTATTTTTTCTTTATGTAAAAAGTGTCCTGATTTCTTTTCTGACAGTGCATAAGAGACACAGAATAATGCATTGACTGCAGCTGTGAAATATGCAAAAGGCTCAGACTTAGCATGGTGTTCAACTTTCTATTACCTTCTGCATTCACTGCATTCTTTTTGTTGCAAATTTTTGTCAGGATATTCTACAGTAAAACTCATACAGATGGTAATATGATGCCTGTTGAGGTTGTCTCTTTAAGACTCTCTCTTGTAGCTTTGCATAGTAGACAAAATACCTAATTGTCATTCACACTAAAAGGAAATTGAAATTATTCATGTCCATCAGGACTGAAAATGTAATTTTCTTCCAATATTGTCCCCTTTTTTTTTCTTAGTATTAGATGCTTCCATAGGCCAAAACTTTTGACAGATGAGTTTTTTACAGTAGTGTATGCTGCCGGGGTGGGTTTTTTGCATCAAAACACAAACTTTTTTGGAAAAAATTCGCTTACTTAACACCCAGTAGTTTACATATTATGTATCCCACAGTACCATAGCATAGTAAATTTGGAAAATATACATATATGTCAATACCTGTATATGGGTTAAAGAACCTATGGATTGATTTACAGTATAAGCAACAAGAAGACCAAGGATGGTTGGTTATACATATACTTGCATCTCACAAAGCTATCAAGCTACATGACCTCAGCACAAAATGTGGAAGAACAATATGTAAAGCAGAGTTAGACCCTCCCTGTTAGGCTTAGCATAAAGTTATAGCACCTATGAATAGGCATAAGTATCAGACTGTATCTACATGGTATGCAAAAAAAAGACAGTTTTCAAAGAGTTTCATGAAAATAGCTCCACTCACACTGGAGCTATTTTCATGAAACTTTCACTTTGCATATATGAGTATGTTCCCAACTGATTCAAAAATGGTAATTTGAATTTGTTGAGCCAAAGTAATGCTATCAGCATATATTGAAAAGAAGTTCAACATTGAGAATGGACTAGAGCTCCTCCTGGTGGTGGAGTAAAGGGAAACACAAGCACTGTCCCTCCTGGTCATCCAGACCATGTTGAACTCCTTCCATTTAAATTCATTCATGGTGCTGATCACCTCTTGCTGATAGTTTTCATGAGCTTTTCCCCTAATGAATAACAGATGAATCAATGAATATCAATCCAGAGTTTTCTTAACATTCTTTTTTAGAATTTCCCTCATTATGCATCAGACTGAGTTTTTAGGGTATGACAAAAAAGACCAAAAACTTTGAGTATATCATATGATTGCTTAAGTCATGTCTCTCCAATTTGCTGAGGATGTTGCATGCTTTCCTTTATATGTAAGTCAATGAGGTGGCAAATATCCATTAATTTGGATCAAAGTTATAAGTGGTACCATATCTATGACACGTCTAACATTTCCAATGGATAGTTCCCCCCCACCCCAAAAAATCAAGGGAATTTCCTAATAAACCTAAAAAAAATGAATTTTGCTAGAAGTGAAGTTGGATAGGTCTGGATGATATACAAGCAGTGCACTTGGGCATGGCCCAAGCTCTTGTCCATGTTCATTACCCAACTTATTTTTAATCATTCTCCATAGCCTTACCTTGGAGCAATGAATTCGGAAGTAATTTTGAAGACATGTTGGAAGTATATCCTGATGTTATCATTGAAAGTTTCATGAAAATAACTCCAGTGAGAGCAGAGATATGTACTGTATTTTTAAAATTATTTTTTTTTCCATACCCTGTACATATCCTGGTGTGTGATTGGAGGTTGAAGCTCAAAGCCTAAAATTTGCCTTCTCTTAAAACCAAAGAAAATTGACTATAAACATGAATTACCACAGAGAGCACCATTATAAAGCCCAATAATGATATGCAATAGCATGGCCACTTTATGAGGTATGTTCAGCTAAGTTCATGATTCCTTTCAGGTACCAAGGGATGGCAGGTTCAGGGCCAGAATTCTGTCTCCGGTGGGACAGCTACTTGGCCAATTTGACAGGAGCCTTTACACAATTGCTTAGCAATGAATCTTTGGTGGATGTGACTTTGGCATGTGATGGTGAACATGTGAAAGCTCATAAGGTGCTGCTTTCTGCATGTTCTCCTTATTTTGAGCGGCTGTTTGCTCAGAATCCATGTAAGCATCCTATTGTGATCCTCCCACGTGATGTCAGCTATGGAACTCTGAGAAAGATCCTTGACTTCATGTATCGAGGTCGGATTGATGTAGCTCAGGAACACCTTCCAGAACTCCTTCATGTAGCTGACATCTTACAAATACGTGGACTTGGAGAAGTGACTGCCAATGGCCAGCCAAGTGGTGTGTCCAAGATGAGGAAAGAACCAACTTATCCTAATCCAAGTGCTGGCTCTTCCAAGTACAAGAGAGGAAATGACTCCATTGCAAGGATGGCATTTGACCCTGCTGATGGCCTTTCCAGACCAGTGATCTGCGATCAACCTTTGTTCAAATTGGCACGGCTAGAAAGTTTCCAGCCAATGCAGATCCAAGAAGTGTTGGTGAATAGTGGAGGTGGGTGTTTAGCTGCACCAACATCTGAGTCACAGACACTTCTATCCCATGGGCATGATGGATTGCCTCCTACTGGGAATGCTACTGGGCAAAATTCTGGCTCTTCGATGTTACATGTTCACTCTCCATCTCCGTATGGAGAACGTATAGACCAGAAACCATACCTGCATCAAACTCCACCACCACCTCCACCTCCTCCTCATACACCTGGATCTACTCGTGGAAGTGACCCTGTGAGTCTTCTTGGGTCAATCTATTTAAGTTGATCTTTTATGGCAAAAGTTTCCCATTTGCAATGATCATATATACCAGTTATATACATTTATCTGTGCCATATGTAGGATAATTAAAAAAAAAACCCTACCATTTTTTACAGGAGAAAGTATGTTTTGTATATTCAAGCAAAAATAGTAAGATAGATAAACTCTTGATATTGGTATAGCCCATGAGGCAATATGGGCAAAGGAAATGGGTAACTAAAGAGGTGGGAGGAGTTCAGAGCATTTGAATCCCCTTGCCCCCAGCTGGAGGTGCAGACAGTGATGCTCTGTGTTCCCCTCTATGATTTTAGCTGACATCGACATGTAAGGTTACCCCATTTGCTCAGCACTGATTCCCCTCTTGACATTAGCTTTGGCATGTTATACCACAGTACAGGTGATTCTCATTATGCACACTTTCATTATCTGCATTTTCTCGCATATCCGTGGTTTCATTTCAGTGCATGGAGACTATCACTATCCCTATAGCCACCTGCTATATATATATATATATATATATAGAGCCTATAGCCTATAGCCACCACTAGCCTCCCGTTTTCCGTGTTTCCGATATACACTACGATTCTCAGGAACGCAACCCCAGCATATAACAAGAGTCACCTGTACCTCCAAAAAGATGTCTTGCATTTCATGATTTGCTCAATTCTGTTTGTAGCTACATACAACTTCCTTCAGTCATTTTATTTCTAAATAACCTGTAGTTATCTCTCTCCTGTAAGAGAGTTCAAATTCCTGATTGGAAAACTTTCATGAAAGCTGTTTGGACCATGTGTAAAAACTCTTGTATATCTATGGGCCAGTAATTGGATTCACAATAGAACCAACAGGCTAAACCTTCAGGCATTCATGATATGAAATTTAATACTCATGGGGATTTTACAGTTCCATGGGCTTAATTTAGTGTTTTGTTTGAGATATCAAGTAGTCACCTTGCACATGATACTAGGGAGGACTGAATGGTGGATATGGTGGTGTTATGGGAGGACCCGGTCATGGATTTGATGGAGATCCTCATTCTACAATGACAGTAACACCTGACATCTTTGGCATTGGCTCTGCTCCCCATTCTCACTCTCATGTCCCTTCGCAATCTCATTCTCAATCCTCTACCCCTCAGAGTACATCTCAGCCTTCTACACCTCAGCAAGAAAATATGTCTAATGGTGAGTTCTGAAATCCAGTGGCCTCCCTGAATTCTCAGTTCACAGCAGCAGATCAGAGGCTCTTGTCTTGACCAATTTGAGAAGTTTGCTTAAATTGGCATGATTTCATTTAATAAATAAGAAAGCCTGGATGAATTAAGTTCTGCTGATCATAGAATCAAGTGCAATAGTGACTTAGAAAAAGAATTGCCCACCATGTGCAATAAAACTTTCCACTTTAGTGAATCATGCCGAACTTCATGCATATACTCCAAATTTGGTAAATCCCCAACCTCCTGAAGGTCTCTGAGTCTGCCATGTTTCATCCATAATGATCCATTGCTTCTGGAGATCTGGAAGTATGTGATTGGGAATCTTGTTATTGTCCTTGTTATTTTATTAATGAAACTTATTGTTCATACCAAACAAAAAACTAATGAGCATATGAGGTAATCATAGAATCATCCTGCTCTGGGATCCTGGGATTACTATCTGATGGTGTCAGGTACTGAGTCCATGACACTAGCAATACCCACATGAGAATTTCATATAAGACCATACATGAAATGGCTATATATTTAGCCAGTCTAACACATATAGTGCAATTCATATATGAACATATGTGAAACATATATGGGGTTTGACAAAGAGAGACTGGACAAAATTCCAACCCTTTAATTAGTTGTGCCTTCATCTTGGTTTAGCATGTCAAGAAAAAGTGAAAAGAAAATACAAAGCACATCAAAAATTAAAAGGAGAATATTAAGTCACAAGCTAGTGGCAATGAGATCTCAAAGATGAAGCAAATTTAATGATGCAGGCTATTAATGTTGTCAATAAACAATAAGCATCAATGCATCTGGTGTTTCTGCTTCACAGCATGAATCCTTTCCTTGAGGGATTGCCTTCCATGTCTCTTACACTTCATTCAAAACCCATACAGCAGCTCCTTGTTTCATTTCCTCAATAGCAACATTTTCATTTTCTTTTGGTTATAATTATTTTTCCTTGCATGTCTCCTGTATAGGTTTACATTATTTCCCACATTTTTTTAAAATCAGTTTTCAAGCAGAGAAAATTAGTTTCCCTTCTCTTACTTTACCTAGGGGAAGAATAATCTTTGTTTTTTTTTTCACATAAGATCACTGACTTGCATTTTTCCCCCTTAAAGTGCTTTCTCTACTACATTATTTATTCCCATCTATATTTCTATGTTCTCATCTTTCTTCCCCTTTTTTCCCTCTCCCCTTCACCTCCTGTTCCCATCAGTTTTCTCAGAATTTTCTAATCCTTTTGCAAATTTCTCTCATTCTTACACCAGTCTTCATTCTTTTGTTTTACTTATTGGAAAGAGTTGTCCATTAAATAAGTCATCCAAGATCCACATTGAAATACTCTAGTTTGGCTCCATATTTTAATGCACTTCACCAACTGCTTTTTGATGTAGTCGAGTGAAGAGATCTTCTAGTAAACCAGAGCAGAAGGGAAATATTGGTATTTAATGACAATACTTGTACCTAATTTTTTATATAGGGTGACCTAAAAAAAATGCCCTGCTGTTTTCTATGGGAGAATAAACAGCTTCATAAATGAAAAAAAATATATATAAATTGGCTATGCAACCAGCATTGGACAGGTACAAGGTGTTGAGATGCATGTCAGTTTTTTCAGCATCTCTGCCTAAGTTGTGCAATGCCCATTTACGCTGTTTACAGGTAGATCATTCCACCTCAAGTGAGGTAATGATGTGTGCTCAACTATCTCAGAAAATCAATTAAATTTGGCAAATGGTAGGATTATTTTGAGAATAGCAAACAGACAGAAAACATGTTTGTACTTCAAGCAGAGGCTGAGAAAAGTGAGTTGTAATTTAGCCATCTGAGCACAACATGGCCCCCAACCTCCAGATGCAAACTTTGTAATTTTACAGTCATTATAATGTCACCACCCTAATTTCATTGGCCATAACTTTTCCAGGGACAGTCAAATGTAGCTGGTTACTTGACATATTCATGAATCTGAGAAGTTTTTTTCACATTCCCCAAGATGGCACTGCATGCCAATAGAGGGTGCTAGGGTACTGTTGTTGACTGAACCACCCCTATATTTGTGCTACACCACTTTTTAGGTAGGAAAAGAAAGACCTTACAGGCCCATGAGCCTCTCTGCCAAATATCAGTTGCATCTGAGAGCCCTTTAAAAGATATGGTCTTGAAGCCAATTTAAAGAACATGATTATGGTCAAAATCGATTTAAGGCCATAACTGGGCAAACTACTTTAATTGAATTTTGAGATGATGAAGCATAGGCCATTACTGCACTTGAGGTGTAATTATCCATCTGTAAACTTTGTAACAAGACAATGCATGGCTCAGATTTGTTCTGAAAAACCAGATGATCATCTCAACATGTGGAATAAATCCAATATCAAGAGTTTATGAATCTTATCATTCTTGCTCAAACATATGAGTCTCACTTTCTCCCATAAAAAACAGTAGGGCGTTTTTTTATTATCACCAAAATATAACAATCCACTGCCTAAGGAGGGTATTTGACCAGTGGCAGATCCAAGGGGTGGAGGAGGTTATGTGTATGTATTGATTTGCTTTGAAAATTCTACCTTTATCTTTTCTTTTTTTGGACTTGAATAGGAATAACTGTTTCACCTGCCAGCAATGCTGCAGAGTTTTTATAAACATCACATTCAATATTTCTCAGTGTTGTTCCTAACTTAGAAATGAATTTGAACAGATGGAGGTTGTAACAAGTCATGGACAGAGGAGAGCCTGGAATGTGCTTTAGAAGCTCTTCGAACCCGTTCCATGAGTTTGTACAAAGCAGCTGCATATTTTGGGATCCCATCCACAACATTGTGGCAGCGAATGCACAAAGCTGGGATTGACTCCTCCCGAAAGGATGGCTCTGGGAAGACATGGTCAGATGATGCTTTGAATCATGCACTGGAGGCATTGCGAGCTGGCACTATTTCAGTTAACAAGGCTTCCAAAGAGTACAACATTCCAAGTTCCACATTGTACAAGATCTGCAAGAAAGAGAGCATAAAACTTGCCCCCCCACTGAACACAATGCCACCAAGCTGGTCACAGGAGAATCTCCGTAAGGCATTTGAGGCCATAAAAAATGGAATGTCAGTCATGAAGGCTGCCACAGAATTTGGAATTCCAAACACAACCCTGTATGCCAAGTGCAAGAAAGAAGGTATTGAACTGCGTGCCAAATCAGAGAATTGCAACTGGACAGAGGATGACCTGAATGTGGCTCTAGACTCTGTGCGCATGGGAGAAATGAGCATCAATCAGGCATCCATTCACTATAGTGTTCCCTATTCCACCCTGTACAATCGTTTCAAGAAATGTGCTCTAGCTGAAGGTGGAGATACTGGAAGTGATCAGAATCAATCTGTGCCAGAGATCCCATCCCTGGAAACCTTTCAGCATAGCCCCAGTCCTCAACAGCAACACCACCAAGGACAGCATCAACAACAGCAATAGGATGAAAATCCTACTCAGCTGGCCTCATTACGACAGGTTGTGAGTGGCACCATCAGAATTCTTATGAGGTTAATGTAATTAATTCTAGTGCTACAGATAGCGATGTCCTATCTGCACTGGATGTTTCTACTCTGGGCTTCTTGGTCATAGCTGCTCGACTAGTATTCTGGTCTCCTGTGATCCTTCTCTTAACTTGCAAGTTTTACTATTATACAAATGGGACAATTTGTAAAATGTCATGAAGGGTGGCATGGCCACCAATTTATATTGAAACTGAGGGAGTATTCCAAGATTGACACCATAGAATCTCAGGTGCTTGTTATGGCTGGAGGCATACTATAGAAAATATGCAGGTGGTATTTCCAAGCAGTAGGGAAGAAGGGTAAATGCTGAGAGGAGTTTGAGAATAGCATTTTGGTTTCCTGATATAATGCTGATATTAGGTTATCAGCCATTGTACTGGAGAAATTTGATAATGCCACTCATAGGTTTTCTTGTGTTGTTCCAGGATGTCTGAAGAATGGAGGCCTCCATTTTCAGGCCTCAAGGTGTGTTAAGACCAGGGCTGTTGCAATTACTCTAATATGGATAAATATTCAGCATATTATCTATTGAATTTTTCTCAGTTTAAAATGAAGGCAATATTTGAAAGTGCAGACAGTAATGAGCTAAAATCTTTCATATCTTAGTCTTGGTAAATGCATTATTTCAAGGAAGAGCAAAGAATTTATGTTTTACCATCCCCTAGAGTCAGGTGCAGTGCACTGGGCTTTTACTCTTTCATTGTCATCTCATGTTTCCCTTTAGAAAAATCAAGATGATGATGGATGCTTCCATTGGGTGCATCCAAGACGTTGTTTCTCCTGCATTTAAACCTATTTCATCATCATACCCTGGCAAAAAAAAATTCAACTGAAACAGATTTTGCCTAATGAGACATGGAATCTCTTAATGGTGTCAGAAGATTGATAGCCTTATTCCAAATAGATTCAATTCCCCTCATATATGAGGCCCAAAATCAAGCCTAAATAAAATAGGTTATTTACAAAGGAAATAATAGCACAAGTAAGCTATTCATGTTGTAGATCCTCTTCTTGCATTAGCACTGGAAAAAAATATTTTGTATGGAAAAGTCAATTGCTATCTGAAGAGGAAAAAGATTACCAGTAATGAGAATAATAAATTGATACTAAACAAAGATGAAGTATATTCATGATGGTGGGGACCATATGAAGTGCTAAAATCATCATACATATAGATCCTGGAATTTACTGGATCCTGGATATTACAAGAGAAAACAAGCCCTTTTGCTGAATCTTTTGCTGAGTCCAGGTTTCCAATATTTTCTTGACCTGAATTCAATAAATTTTATTTCTCAACAAGATTGAAGAATGGTTCCATAGAAAATGCAGGTCTTTCTGACATCTGTGAGGGGTTGTAATATTACAGTGATAGGCATAGGCTTTGTGGTGACTTACTCTCCCAACTCACCAAAAAAGTCAGGCCTTAAAAAGAACAATTTTGGTACTTTTATGCTTAGTTCAGGTTGAATTATTTGCATATTGTTTTCTGCAGCTTTATAATAACATGTAACCCAGTTAAAAGCAGCAATCATCCAAAAACGAAGCATATGATTTTTATTTCACCCTATATTTTTGGTTGTATCTGTTTTGCAGTACTTTTGCATTATCTTTAATTTGAAGTATATTTTTATTCTCCTAAAAAATAAATCTGAGTTTACTCATTGGAAGTTCATGTCATGATTTTCCTAGCAAAGATCTGCAATAACTCAAGAGCTGATGTCACTATGAAAATATTTGGCAATAAATCAGTTAATCCAATGCCAAAATTTTATCTCTATTTCTATCTATATATTTATATGTAGATATCTACAGAGTGTCACCACTTCCCTAAATATAGTTTCATTCCTTCCCCCTGTGAGGGGAGCTATTCAGAGATACTTTTAGAGAAATTAGTAAGTTGGTTAGTGACAGTTGCTTAGTAAGATTCAGAAGTGAATATGTCTAGCAAAAATTATTTTTTACTCTGCTGCTGGAAAGCTATCAAGTACCTGTGACTGATTAACTATGATAGGATAACTTTAGTACAACTCAGGTCTGGGTCATGAAGGTGTATGATGTCTGGAAAAGTAAAAAATTGAACAAAAACTTTTTGCTCTTAGTCTCACCTGATTGGATTACAGACATTGATTTACCTTGAACTAAACATTGCATTTCACCTCATAGGGAATGAAGAGCCCAACTTATAAATGGCAAAGTCTGCATCATAACTTTTTATTGAAAAATTAATTATTCACATATTTTTACATAAAACTTGGGTCATTACTTGCTACATCTATTTATTTTTCTTGCGATGATACTATTGTTTTCTGAAGTTATTCTGTGCTTCACAACATGAAGCTCAGTGATAGATTTAAATTAAGCACAGATGTGATCATATTAACATCATTGATAGAAACCCCAAGGATTGATTATGCAATAAAATTGTTTCTAGTAATTTTTTCTTTGCTATCTTTATCATAAGAAAGTAATACAAAAGTGCAGAAAGAGAATCCAGTTTGTGAAATTTATTCAATATGAAATTTGAAGGAATGCATCCACAAATGATTACCAACCCTCTTAGCATATCTCCTGGCAGCCATTGTAGACTAGCTGAGAAGTGTCAAATATATAATTATAAGTTCTTTATGTCCTTAACCCTGTAACTTTTTCTCACTAATTCTTCTTTTACTATATTTTCTTTTGGAAGATTCTGGCTGTGCAGGATGTAATATTACACCCTATACATGCAAGAGGTTAAGGAACAGCAAATGAATCATTCACACACTTAATGTCCTATCTTTCACAATTGAATAGCTGCTTGCAGGAACTTGCCACTGATAGGGAGGGAGCCATGTTCATTCATGATGGTTTTTTATGGGACTAAAAGTGGTCTATATCTTTGTCCAAGAGAAACTGCTCAGAATCTGTGATGATGGGCTCTGCACTTAGAGCTGTCCTGCATTTACTTCTGCCTGGCAACTTGAGTTAGGATCCTTTTCATTCTTGTTGAATTTTTTTTAATGGTGTCTTATGCCAAAAGTCACTCATTCACTTTGCAAGAGCTCATTGAGCCATTTCTTCCACCTTCTAGACCATGAGTTCCCCCACATTCCCTTGCCCTGATTTGCTCTGTGATTATGGATAATAGGTACTGGTGAGTTGTCTGTATACCTGTTCAAATAATTTCATGGATGTGTGAATGGTTGTTTCAGTGGACACAGGTAAAAATTAATGCCTACAAGGAAACTACTCTCTCACTGAGAAGTATCCTAAGTCTTCATCAGAAAGGGCAGAGTGATATCTCTTGCATCTTTCACTTATTAAAGCAGTTCAGTATACATAAAGTTGCATTAATGCCTAGTTTCCACTTGGTTTTCATGGCTACCTTATAAGAATGATTATGCAAATGTTCACCAAAATAGCAATAGTGGGAATAGAACATGCATTTTGACCATTGTTGCCTACCTTCATTGCCATACAACCTATGGAAGATGGGTGACTTTTTCCACTTCTGATGCTCTTTGATATCTTTTGATCATTTTTTTAAATCTTCCGCAATGCTTTATTGATTTTAACAATCTTTTAATGCATATTGAATTAAACTTATGGGGTGAATTGCATAAAACTGACTTTAGCATGATCCATGACCATAGGCTCCATTTAATATGATCAGAACATTTTAATAATAATTTTAATAATCATTATATTATAGTGGTAATAGGGCATTACAATCTAAACTTCTGAGTAGGCCTCCAATGAATGTATCTTCAGAGTGAGATGTGCTGTGCTCATCTCTAACAATACTGTGTGGAACTTCAGGTTCATTTGCATTCTTAGTCATTATTAGATCATGAGGGGTAAAAATTGTGCATTGTTTCAAATTGAGACATTTTGAACGACCAGTATGCTATTTGTGATCTTCCTTGTCACCTAGAATCATATCCCTTAGGTTTTTTTTCTGTGGTAGCTTTCAGTTTCCCAGATGATTTTTTATTTATTACAATATTGAGCTTTTGCAAAACACAATAGTGGAAGAAATAATTGTATGACACACCTAATCATCTACTACCAAGGCTGCTTCCTGAGGTTTGAGAAGGCATTCTCATTGGTAGCATATGAAAAAATATTAGATTAGAAATTTTGAAAACTTGCAGTTTGCAACCTTGAGTTATTTCTGCCCCATTTTTAAAATGCTTTTTGCTGCATGATGAAATTGGCATTTATGTCATCCCATTTTCTGGTGCAGTGTGGATGCATCTGTCCTAATCAAAAGTGTTGCAATTTAATCTAAGCACTCCTTTATAAGCTAGTCAGTCTTTCAATGCACTGGTTCCAAGGGAAGTTATTGCAATCGCCCTAGTCTAAACACTCCTAAATATCATGCTTATTCCAGGACTCTGGTGGCATACTTGCTAAAGAACCAAACAATGAAACATATGGATTTGATTTTTTTTTGACCATCTGAAAAAAATTATTACACATGGTCAGTAGTGGATGTTACACACCCAACCCACAATATTACCACCCAGTTGTGGGGGTAGCATTCTCTTTCCTTTGTGATTCATAACATTTTTCATATTGGTTCATTGCAACTCACTGCCTTCTGATTTAGTGCTATGCATACCATTTTTTCATATGAAATACCTTAGTTTAGGGGTGTATATGCATGGAAGTCTGTTTCAGCTTTACTGGAATTGAACATTATTTCATTATTTCAGTGCATGAAGCAGGAGGCATACCAACACTTCTACAACCTCTTCATCCCTGGCACCCTAATTTTCATCATGTCCCACAGATCTTGAAACATTGCATTTATATTTGCAAATTACCTTTCCTGTTGTTCTGTATTTTCTCAACTCTTACAGAAGGCATCAGTGGAACAAGCACAATTAGCATTTCAAAGGAGAAAAGGCTTTGACCCTATGTATGCATTACTGGGGTGGAAGTGATTAAAATAGGATTTTAGTAAATTCCTGTGTAGGTTCAATGTCTTGAAATGCAAAGAATTTGTAAAAGCAAAATGCATATTTTTTACATCACTTGTAAACTGATGTGTTCTTTTCAGAATTCCTTCCAAAGATTAAAGATTATGCAATACAGGAAATTAATATACCAGCTATTCAACATGGAAGCCTTGAATAAAAACTCATTTTCAGCACAGCGAGTGCATGCTAGGAATGACTGAAATTGTGCATAGGATTTGAAAAGTGAATGCATTCCCTATTTTAACTAGCTTTTGGTGGTAGGATTTCAAAAGGAATCAATAAGTTCAATAAGTCTTAGCCCTGCTGCCTTATTCCTTGTGACAAGTACGAGTTCAAGCGCTCTTAGGACATCCCTAATAATATTGAATACATTTAGGCTGGATTTTTGAACAGGGCATTATCCGATAATGCAGCTTTATTTAGGAGAAAATGCATTATAAATCCGGTAAATAAAGCTGCATTATCGGATAGTGCTCTGTTCAAAAATCCACCCTTAGGTATGTGCTATACCAATTTAATGATTCCATCACGCACAAATAAATGTCTCCTTACCTATTTATCTGGCCTACAGAGCAGCATGGGATACACCGAAGAATTCCCTGTCTGTGAATCTGGGATCACAATTTTCATCAAGGTATTGAGAAGTACCTAAGAAATACAAATAGCAGAGATCCCTATGTAAACAGTTCAGCTACTTTGAGGGATCATAGGAGTGTCATGAGGCAGCAATTCACTTCAGCTGATAATGGTCTGTACCAGTAGTTGTGATGGTTGTGATGTCATGGTCAGGAGCAATGGCAATACCATGAGTGTGAAAGGTCAACAAATACACCACCACTAACAACCATCACAGTGATGGTCATTCTTTGCCTATTTGCCCTTTAACTTGGTTGATCAGGTACAAATGCCTCAGAGCAATAGTAAACCCCCCAATCAAATTACAGCTGCAGGTACAGCTCACTATGAAGCATTCTTTGCCATGCAGCCTGAGAAGAGAAATTCTCAGGAACCATATGAATGAAGTGTAGCTAAGTGTTTTCAAGCATTTGCTTCAATGGAGTTTAGTTTTTTAAACCCTCTGTATTTATTCTGATTGGTTTCATGACATCACAGTTGATGAATTTGTATTCTCATGTAAACCTATGTGTTCTTGTGGATATGTGTGTATTGATGACTCTTGTCAGAAGAATAAAAGAAGATTGGAAGATGTTGATGGTTCAAGGGTATTCAAGCCGCTTCCCAAAAGGAGGTTTGGCATTGGTCTTGAGGTAGAACTCCCCTCTCGCTCTGCAAAGGATTAGATGCTACTGGCAGGTACCTCATGAGAAAATGCCATGAAAAAGAAGCCGTACTCACCTATGGGGAGTGTGATAACCCATTGGAACAAGTGGTGTGCTTTGGCTGCAATTTCCAGATTCGTATACTTCCCAAGATGAACACGGCCTTCCCATGAAATCATAGGGATGATTGATGCTTTCCAAATAGTATAGCCAGGCTCGAACGTGAGGGCAGTGAAGCACTGTATAGGTTAGAGGGCGTGTGGTACTGTAATTGCATCAATGGCAAGCTGATGATGAGGCTGCGTCTGCATGGATTAGCCATCGCTCGAAAGGAAACTAACTATTTTTCCCTTTGATGCGAGACGAAGAATTTATACACTCTAGTGAACCGAATCTGAATTGAAGGTGTGAGAACGCTTACATTCGTAGACATTCCAAAGACCATGTTCGTCGGTGCAACCAGGTTGAACGAGACCACCGTTAGGAAAGAAATCCACATGACCGACGGGATCAGATAGACCGATGGCCCAAATGTTAGTATGGATGACATCTATGAACTCCGCATCCTCCTTCTTCATCCCTCCTATGCAGTCATCGCAGTCGAAGTTAAACAGGAGAGTCGGGTCCAGCCCTACACAACATCGGAACGAGACATATCTCAATGCATCTTCATTGTTATTTTGACTATTGCAATCAAAGCAAGAGGAACTATTGTGGTACATGAGAGAAATCGCATCGTGTTTAGAGGAAAATCCATGTCCACAAAGTTCATTAAGAGACGGAATCAACTTCTATTGCTTTTTGGGTAATTACACTTTCTTTTAGCTTTGACTTTCCAAACCTGGTACTTTTTATAGATAAGAGCGGGCATCCTAGAAGGCCACGAGTTCGCCAGGCCTTTATCTCTCTTAAGGTGTTCTGTATTCATTTTGAAGTGCTTGACACTTGGTGATTTTTAGAATGCAGTGATTTTAAATGAAGATAAGTTCAATTCGCTATACTGACTGCAATATGTCACAGTTACTTCATAATATTTCATAGTTAACCCTCTATATCCCAATGTGACTTTAACGTAACAGTCGCATTTTAACCGCATCCTTGTAAATTTTCATAGCTGCATTGTAGTAGCCCATTGTGACGTGAAAGTCACAATCCATTGACGCAATCTGTCATTCTTCTGCTCTTCAGTTTCTGATAATCACCCCTAGATACTCTTCATATCGTCAGTGCACGCTGGATGGTTGCATGAGGTTGTTACTGCCGAAAATATCGCTTCTACTGTTTTGCCTCATTTTGATTTTTCAAAAATACTCCAATATTCCTCATTTCATAGAGTTGCTTATGTAATGGGTATAGTAACCTGAACTACTATAAACGTTTCTAGGTAAGAAAAAAAGTATGTTACTACTTTCAAGTCACAATGGTCCATAATACGCAGCAAGCCCTATTTGGCAAAACCAGTAGCGTAGCCAGGATTTCGCCAATGGGAGGCTATCCTCACTTCTCGCCGGCGCGCCGGCGAGAAGTGAGGATACCCGCCCCCGGTTGGCGGGAGCGGATGCATTTTAACCAGAGTTGGGGGGGGGGGGGCTGAAGTCCCCCTCCCAGCCCCCCCTCGCTACGCCACTGGGCAAAACTGCCACTGCATGAGAATGTTATTATTTCCCCCCCGTGGATCCTTTGATATTTTACAGAACCTCAATGAGGAATATTATTGGAAGAGTTATTTCTGGAGATGTGTCCGATGACTCTAGATTAACATCGGACAGCGATGATGAGACTGGTATGCCGAAAACCAAAGTGCTATAAATGCAAAATTCATTCATGTTTCACTGCTACATCAAATTGCATCCCTGACTTCTACCTGAAATAAAGTGTATGAATGAAAAGTAAATTAGAACACAGGTAATTGATTTTTTTTTTTACATTTTCAGCAGCAGCTTCCCAAATTATCATGAGGATATGAGAGTAAATTTTATAACCCACTAGCTGAGGTACCCGGCGTTGTACGGGTGAATATTATATAGGTCCCATATTTGTCTGCACTAAATAAGGTATTCCCGGGGCAGGGAGCGTCTTCGGCAGCCGGCCCTGCCCTGGGGCTTCCGAATTATGAAACGCCACCTAGCCATGACCATCCCCGGACCTAATGAGGAAGCCATGCAAAGTTTGGTCGGTCTGGGATCAGAGGCGTGGCCTGCGTAAAGGACAGACGGACACACAAACATTTAGAAATATAGTACAGATTATGTATAGATTGTGACTTCAGGGTAACACCTCTTTCCAAGTGTGTGTATACCTTAGGAAGTAAAATAGGAATGAGAGGTGTCCTTTCCACTGATTTCCAAAGAATTGCGTAAGAAAAGTTTCCCCCTCCAGAAAATAATTTGGATCATATTGGGTTAAGCACCGAGTGCAGGAAATTTTCTCGAAGAATCTTTCAACACTTCGGAAATGCACTCCCAATATTCCGGACGTGCAAGAACCACACGAATCCGAGGAAAGTCGTTCAAGATGGTGAGGTAGCTAGCGAAACAAACCAGTGATGCGCTTGACAGGGTGGCGCCCTGGGGTGGTTTCCATAACCATCCTGGAGGCGAGGGAGGCGATGTTAGAACCGAGGCTCAAACCGATCATGTGCACTTTCTCCGGCCCCGTCTCCAACTCCTCGCTCATCCGCACGATCAACCTGCATTGGGATTTGTGCTATTCCGTCTCGCTGCCCTCTGTAATATTACTAACGTACACACACATCTTGCATAACTACTTCACAACAGTCTACCTGGCGATTTCAGATGCCACATATTTGGATCGTCTCATGACGAGAGGGTAAGCCAGGAGCGTTCCGCGTGCCAACCCGGCCCAGTCCAAGATGATGACGTTCATGTCGTCGTGCCGTAGAAATGCTACATGTGATTCATACCCAAATCCAGTTATTTATTTCCGTTTCCCACTTTGAAAGCTCTTGGCGGAGAGCGGAGATGAGAATACGTTACCGTTCTTGGTTTGCACGGCAAAGACGTCTTTCCCGCTGGCACCGAACCCGTGGATGATGATCTTGATGGGTTTTCCTCGCTTAAAATGCGTAGAATTCCACTGCTTATTGGGATGAAGTGGTTCTGCTTCCACCGGATTCCCCCTGAATGAAACGGAAGGAAGTCTATCGATGATGGAAGATCCCGGGCCAGGGAAAAAGGAAGGGAAGGGGAAGAATACGAGACCTGGTGTAGAGGAGAGGGAGAACTCCTCTCATGTCCTCCTTGCTGATGGGGATCGTGTCTCGGATGTTCTGCAAGATCAGCTCTATGGAATGTGAAGAAAATAAAGGTATAGCCCCGATCACCCTACGACGAGTTATAGCTTTCATGGTTGTCTCATCGTTTCGATCATTAGCGTGCCCAGAAAATCTCAATGGGGGGTGGGGGGTTGAAATATAAAAAATTAGGTAACCCACCCTGCATTTATGGCCAAATTAAAAATTTTTTTAGAATCGAACCTGTAAAATGTATTCCAAGGTGGAGGTTATGAACTACATAACCCCCCCACCCTTGGCCACGCCACTGGTTTCGATAGAAGACCCGAAAATACCGCCTCTGCCCCACCTCTTCTTGTCTACCTTTTAAAATTTACTTTTGGATGGATTATAAATAATTTTCAGCATTGTGTAAGTTGACAGAAGAATTGCGAAAGTGACAGGAGTTCCAGGAAATCTAAATCCGCTTTCATAGTTTATGTTCATGAAAACTTCAATGCATTCGGAGACAAACTGCTTTGGCACAATGCCATTTTAGCGTTTCAAAGGAAACACCTCTCTTCGAAACGAAACGGAATGTACAATATGGCGACTACAATCTCAAGTTTTCCTTGAAATTTTAGCACCAGAGGGCACGCATTAAGGTGAAGCGATTTCGAATGAAAATGGGAGTTTCAGTTTCTGCATATCTGCATTTTCCACGAACAGAAGGCGAAAATGTTAAGCTTTCCCTGCCGACTGCTATTATTTTTAGGGAGAGGGGAACCTAAAGGTTCGCGCGAAAAGCCTAATTTTTACCTAAAGCCTAAAATTTATAACCTACAAGGGAAAAATGTTGCAAATAATGCTCTCTAATATTGGAATGTGTGGCTCACGATGTTCGGCTGTCACTCGGGCTAAGTCTCGGAGCATCTCTGAGCATGTGCTGACGCACACCATAATACCTGTGATTTAACTGCTCATTCATTCTTATGACAATGATTCGGCTAAAACGCGGGCCTGAGTGCCTATTCTTTCCGCAATCGTCACAACTCAATTTCCTGCCCCAATTTCGATCGCTGATTATCCACTTTTTGCCTTCCAAATGATGAAATGTGAGGATAGCTGGAATCCAGATAATGGATACCACTTCAAGTGCACATTCCGTTGGTTGAATAAGGTTTACACCTTCGCCGCTTCAAAGCGACCTTACTTGCGGAAATGATTATGCTCAGGAAGCGAAAAAGTCATCACCAAATGTCAAACATTTGTAGATCCGGCCGCAGTCTCCATCCCGTATTTCTTACAATAACTATTTAAAATATTATTTTTTCTCCCCTCCTATCTATTGCTTGGTAAATCTTTTGTCCCGAGGATTTTTTCCTGTCTGTGTTTCTCGTGGTTGCGTTTACCGGGACGCGGATTGCTGCGCGTCCTTTTGGTCAAGCCCAGGGCATCGGATCGAGATCATTCCCAATGCGAAAAATTAACTAGGAAACAGACAACAAAACGGAGTGAAAATTGTGCGGGGTCACGCTCCCGAAAATCACACACGCATGACATGTCGCAAGGAAACAAGACTCGTGTAAAGATCACCTGTAACGTCAGATATAATCTGCAGATAATTTTTGGATTATTTGTATGATTTGAAAACTGGATTTGAATGAACTACGAACATCTATGCTATAAGCTATGAACTATTCGAGTGTGAATATAAAATACTGAAATATCTTTTAAAATATTAGAATCGTCATAATTGAACACCCATTGTGTGTACGTATGTGAAGGCCGATTGCCACTAAATTAGAATAGCTGCAGAGATCCAAATGAGCTCCGCTACGGTAACGCTACGGTAATTACGGAATCAGACGAGCAAATTACTATATTGTCTTCCCAATGGAATGTGGATGTGGATGTGGATGAAGTCTTTCCTACAGTATCATGATCAGATTCTATGCCGCGATAACGGAATCTCATACATGTACCGAAGCCTCCCATGTTTCAGATCCACGAATTTCAAGTCCTTTTTTGGCCTTCGGTACGATAAAGTCAAATGTGAGAGGCGGCACGGATTCTTTAATTGTAAGAAGTGGTTTTACGTCGCGGTTGGAAAAATCGATTCTTGCAATAGTGCAACTAATCGACGCGCTACTGGTTCAGAAAGACAGTTCAACTAAACTATTGAACAAACACGTAACTATTCAATTGGACGATTTGCGCCATCTCAAAGTCTCTAAAACTGAAAACACCACTCAACGCTTAATTGCGCCACTTAAGTGCGTGACCACATGGATCTTCATGAGCCCTCTCATGAAGATCCATATGGTCCCCATTCTTCTTCCACCATATGGCTATTGAAAGAAAAGCGAGGCCCAAACGTTAAAAAAAAGAACTAGTCGCTCTGCTGGCAGTTTACTTGGTTTTGGCAGTCTGACTCGGTCAATTAAAGTGTATGAGGTGCTCTGCATCTTGCGGCACTGGAAACCTTGCACGCAGTTTTGGAATGCCTTTGGGTTTTGGCTTCTATAACAATGTACGTGGGTAGTATGGTGCTAGCATGGGAGAAGCGGAAGGATCACGTCAAGGTCTGCATTTACTTTGCGCCGTGAGTAAACAAAAAAAAAAGGGACCAGTGCATTTATCCTGTGCCAGTAGCGCAACCAGCTCTAAAGGGATGGGGGTGGGGAGATTCGGTAAAGTTCTTATGACCTGTCTTTCAAATGTCTTCGAATGCAAGAAGGCCTTATCGTATCATCAGAAGAGATAGCACACGCCGATTCGTCCAGGACGTCATTTAGGTACGCACCTGCACATGGTGTCCAATTACTCACTTTTGCCATTTCAAAAGCTAATATTTTCCAAACCATTGAAAGCAGGTTCATGAAATTAGCGCAAAACTGAATTTTCACTCAATGCGTTTTAAAGGATTACTCTTTTTCAAAGTCATTTCATGGAAATTTCATATGCTTTTTCAGGATATGGCTGATTTTTTGCACTTTTCTTTTCCATTTTAGGTAAAATTATGATTATGGAGGGACTTTAAAAATGTTGTTCCTGAATTTGGTTTGCTGTTGTGAGAAACGGCCTGGCAATTGACATTGTAGCAACGAAGAAAAGTTGACATCTGAATGGAAGTTGGAGGACCGGACCAGTTCGAATCCTATCCTACAACTGCTTTCAGTGGTTTGGAAAATATTAGCTTTTGAAATGGCAAAGTGAATTATGGGACACCCTGTATATACTGAAGTGCATCCTCACCAAATTAGTAGTCTACATCCGTGCACAATAAATTTTATCGACTTAGATAAATAGGCTCAGTTTGTGTCCATGAGAAAATGGTGACTAGGATGGGACTAGGTGAATAGGATAATCGAAAACAAGAAAAGAAGCAATCATTCATGAAATAGAGAAATCTGAATTTAAAAGTAAATGATAAAGTGCATTCGATATCTGAAAATAAAATAAAGCCAAAGAAAACGGAAGGAAATTCAGGACCCAGCCCAGATTTTCCAGTGCAGACATGCGATTGGAAATTCGATGACCTGAACGTGATTCACGCCCTTCATCCGAGTCAACGTCCTTCCGTTCCCCACCCAAAAATGCAACAGCGTCACATATGCAGGAAGCTTCCGCGACGTTTTTAACTCAAGCGAGTAGCCATATGTGACTGGCATGACCTTCATCTTCAGCCTCCCTGAACTCCTCTCACTTTCTAGCCTCACTCTCTCATCTTTTCCACGTGATATCTCCTTGCGTCCCCCTCCCCCGGGGGAGCAGAGCGTTGCTATCTGGAGCAAGGGTTTGGGGGGGGGGGGGGGCGTCACTGTCTTCTGCAGTTGCATGCCAAGCGAAGGAGAAAAATACCTTTCCACCGGCATGCGCTTCCTTCTCAAGGCATACAGTGATAGGGAGAAATCGGGGGGGGGGAAGAAAAGACATCCATTTAAAAACAAGAAGGTCCTGGATGGTGGAACGGTTATGGCAGTGTCACAACTTGAAGAAAATTCTCTCCTCAGGAGAGAGGGCCGGGGGGCTTGATTAAATCTAGGATCGCCAATTTTGATTATGTTCCTGCTATGACCAAGCATTGCGACGAGTCGCGTTTCGGGCGCAAACTTGACTCTCGATGGTTGCCAGGGTACCCCCGTCAGACTTCAATCGCTTCGGTCAAACGCATTTGGTTCCACTAGCAAATGAATGAATGATTGATAGGGTAAACATCCCAGTTTTTGGCTGCTAAACCCCAGTTGTGGCCACACTGATACGACTCCCATAGGAAGTGGACACCCTGTGCGCACACCGGGAAACATTAGTAATAGATCCTCGTTCGGGAAGATGTTGATAGAATGCTTGAAAACGGCCAGATTAACTAATTGTGCTGGATTTAAGCCTCAATGGCCAACAACTGGAGACCGGCCAGAAACCTGGGTGCTTACCCTATAAGCCCTTGAATTTAGGCGGTCAGGAAGTTTCCCACGAAAAACAAATGCGATCAAGAGTATCGCCGAGTAGTCACTATTTTTGAAGAGCTAAACGACCCTAACTACGGCCGCCCCTCCAAATAGTCTAACAGGAGGCAGAGAGAAGTCACTCCAAATCAGACTAAGATGAGGTTCAGAGGACGGACTATACACTTCCCACTCTTACCGAAAACGCTCTCTTCCATCTGAGACCGAACCAAGCAGATGAGTAAGGCGAATGAGAGGAAGGGCAAAGCGGCATGAGAGATCATGACGACGGGGATCACGAGGGGCCGAACTGGATACCGCACCGGAGTCACCGTGTCACCATGCCATTCTTTCCGAAGAAAATGACGAAGCGAAAAGAAGGAGGAGGAGCATAATATGTGAGATCGTCCTGAGTTGTGAGGATGGCAATGGAAGACGTCAATGACCGAGAGAATGCCTGCGGGTGATGACGCAAGGTTTGTTGCGCGTGAATGCCCGCCATCTTCAGTATTCGCCTTCAACGTCGTGTCATAGACTAGGATCGAAAAGAAGTCGCCGTCGCTTGCGTCAGATGCCCTGCTCTTAACGATAACAACCCCGATAGTGTCATCGGTCTCGACACCACATTATACCAATTAACCTTTATCGGACGAAAAGTGCTACTGCTGTAGCGCAGAATGTATTTTTCCATGACTGAAAGGTACAAATGCTGTACCGCAACCTCTGGGGAAAATGTTCTGATACTTTTAGAACACACTGTCTTTCCGTTCTCAAAGAACAGTTGTCTATTCCTTTGCTTATAATGCTGTTGCCCAGGCAAAGTTATCCCGTGTAGGATTGGAACATGGCTCTGTTTAGAGCCGTGTTTCAAACTCTACCGCACAAAACTGAACTTGTGAGGCATCGCACAACACACCTGCATCTCGCAGGAGGATTTATTCGTCGTCAATAGTGAATAACTTCAACTTTTTTCTGTGTTGATTACTTGTATTTTTTAAATTGTATGTTTGCATCTAGTTTTTCAGGACAAGAACTCTTCCTCAATGTAGAACATGTAGATAATAACATTTTATTGTGTTTTCTGACACTTCTTATTTGTAGCATTTATTTTTTGTTGTGAAGTTATGAGTTTTCTCGAATGTAAACTTCGTAGCAATTTAAAGGGAAGCAATTTAAAGCGAAAAATCCGGCTGCCAGGTCCTACGAGGGAGATTTGAATCTGTATGATAAAGGTTAATAGATAAATGAGACTCCTTTATTTGCAGGGCCCCACCGAGCTGAGAGGAGATAAAGACACTCTCGGTTGGGAACGGGCCCCAGTCAGGAGAAGGAAACCAGCCGTTCAATTGGTGCAGAGTTCGCAAATCTATCGCAGTGAGTCCATCAGCTTCTGAAAACTTTTGTGAACCGCAGGGGACGATTCCCCCGATTGGCTTCGGTGTCACGGCGCACTCCAGTGAGAGTTTAGTGGCCGTAGCCTCAATCCATTTTAGAGTCGCTCGCGTCTCTCGA